TTGTTTTGGCTGTGAGCGATGCTTAGAAAATATTCTGTGACTTCGGCGGACATTGTCGCAGGTGGCGATTCATGGAATCGGTCTTAATGAGGCGATTTTTCCTTTTTCCTGCTGCAAATCGACAACGTAGCTGCATCTCCTTGGTTTTGGCCGTGAATTATGCTTAGAAATTGTTCTGTGCCATCGGCGGACATTGTCGCAGGTGGCGATTCTTGAAATAGGTCATATTGTGGTGATGTTTGCTTTTTCTTGCTGATAATCGACAACGTTGCTGCATAACGTTTGTTTTGGTCGTGAGCGATGCTTAGAAAATTTTCTATGCCATCGGCGAACATTGTCGCAGGTGGCGATTCTTGGTATCAGTTGGATTGAATCGGTGTTCGCTTTTTCTTGCTGCAAATCGGCAACGTCGCTGCATCACTTTTGTTTTGGCACTTTCCGATGCTTAGAAAAATTTCTATGCCATCGGCGGACATTTTCGCACGTGGCGAATCTTGAAATCGGTCATATTGAGGCGATGTTTGCTTTTTCTTGCTCCAAATCGACAACGTAGCTAAGTCACGTTGGTTTTTTCAGTTAGTGATGCTTAGAAATTTTTTTCTGTGCCGTGTTGAAGCGATGTTTGCTTATTCTTCATTGGATTGGCAGTTTGATGAACATCAACATCAGTTGATGTTCATTAGTTGAAGCTCCCCACTATTGATTCGAGATGGTGACTTTGCAGCCACCATTTCAGTGGGATCACGCTGTGATTCATTATTTTAAGACTCCGTTGCCTATCTTTGGTGCTTGGTCCATTAAGTTTTAGTGAACGTTAATGATGTTACATCGAATTTTTTATTTTAATTTTTAAACAGGTTAAATTGGCCAAATAGTCTTTGGTTAAGCGTGTAGGTAGCATGATTCAAATTGGGGCTTAACTAGATATAGGGAGGATGAGAAAATGTCAGCTTTCATTTTTTGGTCGTTTTGTCCTGTTTCCCTCGGCAAGGTTCGGGTGTGATCGGTTCGAGTGGAAAGATCCTCCATGTCTACGCGGGCAAGCATTTCCTATTTTATTGTAGGTTCTGTTTGGTTTCATATCCTGTTTTTGAAAACGTGGCAAGCATTACTCTCTGAAGTCCTTCCAGTCAGACCGAGAGCGTCTCGGTTGCAGATCCCCGGTTGAGGAGCTGAGCAATTATGATCCGAAATTAATTCTCAATATAGATCTCCTTTAATCCTCGGATTGTCATTGCGCACCCGGCATTTGACGTTGGCCCAAAGTGGTTCCGCTGGACAATCCTAGGAGAGACCTAAGTTCGGCGCATATCTCAAATATTGAATTCCAACATATTGAAGTCCAACGTAGGTGTTCTGCCGGGGTGTGTCCAAATATGAATATTTTTTTACCTACATCGTGGGACGTTATGTGTTACGCTGCATCTTCAGCAATTCACAGAATAAGTGAGTAAAGCAAAGAGTGGTCCAAGCTTGTTCATGGGTTTGGGACCCAGCCACTGATACCTTTGGCCTGTGAACTTAAGGGTGCTACCCTTTTCTCCAAAGAAGAAATTGAAGAATGAATGAAATGCGCCACCTTTACGCGATATACGACTATGGAGAAATCTTTCGGTGTTACTGGTAGGAGGAAAAATGATGTCGGATCCAAACAAGGAAAAGCAGTTTTCGCATCTTTCCGACTGAATCCAGGAATCCCCCACCTGCCACATTATAAGTGGACATGTTCTGAAAATTTTGTTGGCATCACCCAATGCCGAAACCAAGTTAATATTTCTACGATATCGAATCAAAGCAAGATACAGCACCTTTCCCATAGCATAGATTACCTCATCGTGATACGATTCCGAGTGTCATGCATTTCCGGTTTCTCTCGGATCGTTACGATATCTTCCCTTCTATGATGCATGATCGGAATCGGGAGAACCTGATTTCAGCCTTTCTCCGAGAAGAGCAAAATTATGCCCCAGTATGGTAAGTTCTCAGATACATTCCCGGTTTCTGTCGAATTCCCGAGGAATAGGTTTCATCCTTCTCGAATCGGAGGGAGGGAATTCTCAGGTTCTTATTTCCAGCATCGAAGGGAAAATAGTACCCCATAGCATCGTCGGAGTGTGGCGAATTTCTCCGGTTTTTATGTTTTCTTGCTAGGATGCAAAATCCGAGGCAGGAGAATCGGAACCGAAACCGGAACCGAATCAGAGTGGAATTTCTCATTTTCTGTCTGGGTATGAGTTATCCGAGTTAGCCTTCGAGAATACAAATGGAAGGACGAACGGGTTCGTTGGAACGTTTCTCAACAGGTCTGTCCCTTTTACGAGACGGTTTTCAGGGTTAGCGGGAATCGCGACCTCGGAAACCTCCTCGACTCCATTCGCATCGTATTCTTGGAAGCTTCAGATTCCTTTTCGATAATGAAAAGGATTGATGGAAGAATGAGATAAAATTCAGTAAACGCCAAAACCCGAATACGATATTGAACGATGGTGCCTGAGAGCAAGAATAACAGCGCAGTTTAGCTGTTGAAGTGATTTCTGTCCCCCCCACACCCCTACCATTCCCCGCAAAAAAGGAAATGCTGAAATTTTTTCTAGTGCTACTATATTTAGCCGCTATTGGGTGGAAACTTCCCCCTAAAGTTTTCGAAAAAAGAATATAATTAGTTTATTTTACTTGTTGCTAAACGCAGAATGTAAATTTGTTACTCTTCACGTTTCCCAGAGAAAAGAGGTAATGGGTGACATGCACCAGATTCGTTTCCATAATGGGCGTCTATGGGTATAAGTTAGTCTCTGTTAAACTGATTCCCGTGGGGCACCATCGTGAGGTCAGATTAGTTTAGCTTAAACGGATTCTGTGCATGTCACCCAATGAGGGGCATCCGATGCCGCGTAGGAAAAAATTCACATTTTCTGGTAGACTCGTGAGTTTGTGGATAGTCGGCCGTCGTTTGGTTAAAATTATTAGGGAAGACTTGTCTGGGTCTCATGAGCGAATTCGTAACCAGTGAGGAGGGTGAAAGAATTTCGCCGTTTGCTCTCGGATGGAAGACACCTGGAATGAAAGCCATACGGTGAATGTTGCAGGATGACAGTTTCGCCAAAAATTTATCGGATCGCGGAGGATGGAAATTCGAAGGGGGCGAAAAGTGAGATTCGGTCATGGTTCTCATCCGTTTTGGATTTTTATATTATTTTTTAAATTTGGTTTTCTGCTTTTTTAATTGCATTTTTCAGAGGATGGAAACGTTCCAGGCGTGGATGCATCTCGTAATTTTCTCACCTCTTAATGGTTTTTCCTATTTAGTGACGATTCGGAACGAAGCCGCGTCCGGATTCGACCGCTCGATTCGCTCCTGGCAGGACGAGATTCGGCAAGAGAACCGGCGGACCGTCGCGTTCGACGCACTCGATGCACACCGGCCGATACGGAACTGGAAGTTTCGCAGCCGAAGCACGCGAAGGTCGAGCTCGGATGCCCTTCCCTGCAGTCTCGCGATGCGGAAGGTTCTCCGGGCGGAGATTTTCCACCTCGAGAATCCGCCGAATCTCCTCTTCTCCAAACGATGGTTCCTCGGTCCGAAGGGAGGGTATCGGACGGTGCGGTGCGTCCACCCTCCGCTTCCGACGCTGGATCCGAGAAAGGGCTCAAGGAGAGGAGGAGGTGGGGCGCCGACCACAGACCTTTTTGCTGTCTTTCGCCCACTTCACGTTTTTTTTTTGCAAATGTTTCCATGATTGTGTTTTCTTTTTAAATATTTCCAGGACAAGAGAGACGGATGAAGAAAAAAATTGTTTGACATATTCTAATGCGTTCGGCTTTACGGTACTTTGAAAGGAATGAAGTACTCGAAAGCCAACGCCTTGCCGGAAATTTTCGCTGTTACTATTACTGCTCATGGTGCATCTGGAAATAAATCGAGACTCTTCTCTTCCATTTCTTTCGCTTTTTTTTCTGAATCCAGGAGCCTTTGACCGTCATAAACATTTTGGCCATAGAAAGTGTTACATCCGTTACGAATATTGAAGAGATGATTTCAATGAGATGATTTGAAAGGAAATGTAATAGTTCCGAGCAATGAAGAGCTCACGTCGTGCCAGGAGACATTAATGAGATCGATCCCTGAATTTCGATCCTCGTATCGAATAAAGATGAGATGAGACGGGAAGGAAAAAGGAAAAGAAAACGAAATTGAGAGCATGGATTCGAACGTGAATCTCATGATCGTGAGACGAATGTTTTCCACCTCGGCTACGGGCAGAGGTGTTCCGCATGGACTAGAAAAGAGGCCTTTTCAATGTAATGCGGGGATGGACGAGTCCATTCGACTTCGAGGGGAAGTCGGAGTTGTGGGGCGTCAAGGTCAAATGAAGGTGAATGGAACCACAGCCGTGACGTCGCAGGGGTTCCGGCAAAAAGCGAAAATCTCGTCCCTTGCTGCTTTTTCCGAACCCGGAAAAAAGTGGCAGTTCAAGGTCGAATTCAGTGACGTCATCGGCCAGCCGACCTCCCCCTTTTTGCCCCTCTCTGTGGACTCTTCCACCATCCAACCTCCCCCGGAATCAGAGAATGGACTCGTCCCTTTGGCGACCTTCCCTCTAATCCCGGAAGAGGTCTCTCCAGTACCCGATTTGCTTCATCGATGCCGCTCGACTTTCCCGATTCCGTTCTAAAATCGATTCCATTGCTTCTTTCGAAACTTCCGAGCTAAAGAAACCTTCGATCATGGAAATTAATCACCCGATAGATATGACGGAAACGGTTGGAAATATTCTTGTATCATTGTCTTCCGTCTGAATTCCTCAGCGTCCTCTCGATTGGTGAATGGTCAATACCATCATGTCGGCAAAATCCATGTCTTCCCACTTCTTGCTTTCTTAAACTTCAACAATCGCAAGCATAGAAATTAAACTTTGAGAAATAGCTGGGAATGAACATACGTTTCATTTTTCATTCGGTGCTTACTGTGAAGAAGGATAAAAGAGATCCAGGGCTTGGTACAGCCAATAGAACTTCACATTTATTTTTGTTCCAAAACGATCTGCAGAACAAGAGAATAAAAAGACAAGGAACAAAATTGCATTGAAAGGCACTTCAGTCGAGGGGGAATTGAAGCGGCCATGCTGCAGCCATGTGATTCATCTGACACTAGATGATGACTGCGTCTTAAGGGAGAGCCAGAAGCAGCGACCAGGGCCAAGTGCACCGACCGATTCTCCAACACACCTGAGAATGACTCCAAAAAAGAAAGGAATTTTAAATCTGGAACTACAAGTGGTTCTACTACCCTAGAGGCTGATGGAGCATCCTCAGCATATTTACTTCTTTTAGTTGAATTTTGCACATCTTCAATGGAACCCCAATGCCCATCCATGGGAAATAATCCTATAAAGAGGTGCCAGAATGGGGCTAAAGTGAAAAAAAAAACACAGCTTGACAGATTTTTCCGCATTAAGGCCTTTGGTTTCTGTATGACCCAGGAATATTATTTTTATGCATGCAGTTTGCAGGGGCTTGTCTTGCCCATGTGCATCTGGGTCCACATCCATGAGTTGCCAGGGATAAGAACACTATGGACCCTGGAACATATATTTTCAAGAGTTAGGCATTTCCTTTCCTCCATTTTGCACCTTCATCCAAATAATTTTTAGGCAGAATCATACTCAGAGGATTTACTGGCAGGTGGCTTCTCGCATTCCCAGAGAACATAAGACACAAAACTGAGCCAGGTGAAATAGTTGGAAATTTTGAACACAGTTTGGAAAATTCTGGCAAACTAAAAGAAATAAGCATGATGAGGTTAAAGTATGCTGGGCTTCCTTACCTGGAACTTTGAGTAAAAGCAGGAGATAGGACTTAATTAAGTGATTCCTGTAGGACCAACAGGCTAAGAGCCTCATCTGAAATTGAATTAAAGGAATGGAAAAACAACTTGAAGCTGTAGTCTAACCATATAAACCATGAAAAAGACAGTAAATCATTCCTTTCCAAGAACCATGAAATACAAAGCGGGGACATACTCCCCCCCCCCCCCCACCCATGGTCAGGAAATTTTCAATGAACATTATGTAGAAATGTCTTACATAACAAAGTCTAATCTGAGTAAGAAGTCTAACTGGCACCAGGAATGCTCACTGTCAGTTAGGATACATGAATATTACTGATGACAGCTGACTTGCACCAACATTCAGAGAATGTCTAATATTTTCAGAAGTGTGTTGGCAGTTGTGCTTCATGAACTTTTCAATTAGAATTCAGAAACCACCCATACTCCTATGAGAAAACAGTGGGGAACTTGTGACACCTGAAATGAACATTCCCTTAGACTTCAATGATAACAGCTCTAAATTAATACAATAAAAGAGAGAGTGAGCATATTAGGGTGTGACTTGTCATTGGACTAGACCAGAAGCAGGTAAACCAGTGTGAGAAGAGTCTGACTCATGACTGAACTCAATTTTCATTGTTCAAGATGAAGGCAAGAGGGTTTGTGTTAGGAGTCGAGTACTCTTTCTGCAAACAAATTTGTGAATATCAGGTACAAATTTGAGTTTTTCTCACACTGATTGGAAGATATGCGAATCAGTAAAGAGGCGACAGGTGTCAAATTAATTTTTCCCCTCAGGGTTCATTCATGAATGGGCTGCTAGTAAATTGATATTCAATATCAGGGGTCCTGTTGCTTGCATGGAGTTTGCTGCTTGCTGATAATGTATAAATGATTTGCAAAAAACTGCAATTGGTATTATGGTAAGGAGAAGACAGGTTGAGGAGGAGGCTGTCCGATCTACAGGGAAGTGCATAAAGGGGATGAGGAAATCTACAATTTTGATTTGAGTGTTAAACAACTTTGAGTCATTTGTCCCCCTTAACAGAGAACATTCAAAAAGAAGTATCATTCTGCTCCCAGAGTCCTGTGATGAACCCAAGGGTATAAAGAATGAAGGCATCACAGCTCACCGTGGGAAGGCCAGAATTCTAGTTGCTGCAGCAAAAATCTGTCTTCCTCCTCAACAATCCCATAAGACAGATGGGCCTAGGGGTGGGTTCATGCCTGTGAATTGACTCAGGGTGTGGTTGTTGAAATTTGTCTGGCTGATACTGGAAGGATGCTTCTGCAAATGCACAAGGTCTCTGGGCAACAAACTACTGCTTAGCAACAGTTGCAATAGATTATTTCTATTGTCCTTCCCCTGAGGGAAATGGGCAACAATATGAAGCGAACTTCATGATGACATCTCACATTTAGACAAGTAGCTGGAAAAGAGAAACCAGAATTGAAATTATTAATTAATTAAAAAAATTAATTAACTCAATTGAAAATTTAATTTACCAGTGCTGATGCACTGAGAAGAGATACATAAAAATAGCAAAAGCAATGGCCTCAATTCATTCAAGCCACTTCAAATTTGAAGAAATTCTGCAATGTGTCCTGTTAAAGAAAACATTCAAACAGTCCCTCAAGAAAATTTTAAGTGTTTTAGCAAACCAGATTCAAGAACATATTCTACAGCAGTGAGAGTTCACACATGAATCCTTTCAAAAGCATCAATGCTCAAGCGTGCCATGAAAAACATTAAAAGACACATATGGGTTATGCCTAGTCTTCTTGGTAGGTGCAGCAAACCACACAAGGGGAAGAACACATAAAATAATGGAGTTAGCCCAGAAGTCCAGGAGCCCGATGAAGATGCAAATACACGTGGGTCAAAACACCAAAAAGGAAGACAGGTGATCCCAAATGTTGAACTGCTTTCAAGGCAGAAAAAAGTTTGGCATTATATAAAAGAATTGGAGGAACAATGGCTGCATACTCACGAACCTGAAGTTGGAGCATTCAGCTCCTGCATCTCAACTATCCAAGGGCTCTACACATAAAAGGACACAGCCCACACGAGGCACAAGATCCAGTGTGCCTGGTTCAGGATGTCCACTGCTCCAACCAATTTAGGCTCCAGTCAATTTATGCAAGAAGTGTCTCAAGTCTAATGTGTTAAGTCCACAAATTCATTTGGCCTCCAGCTGGCTCCCAATTGCAGTTCCCACACTGTCTTGTGGCAGGTTCAAAAGTTAGAGTTGGGATTTATGACCTAATCTGTTAGACACACATACCAGAATGGGAGGACACAGGGGGCTTTGGGACAAATCCCAGAGATGCAACTCAGATGCCAAGGAGATGCAAGAGAAGCCAATGAGTTGCAAATGACAAAATCCAAGATATAGATGAATACAATGGCCGTACTCCATGAAAGCTAGAATAAGACAACCCCATGCCTCAACAAGATGACTACACAATGTAGTTGACTGGTGTTCAAGGATGTCCATTCACACACTTGTGACCAAAAGAGTCAGCTTCTCCATTAATTCTTCAAATCTTGGAAACCTATCAACAAATGATCAATCCAAGTAAGCATCTCATCAATAATCAATGCAGAGAGAGCCAAACAAACAATCAAACCACAAACAATGCAGCAGAGTAAAATGCAAAGGCACAATTGCAACCCTGACTATCTTCTTTAAGCTCAGGTAAGTCAACTAGGAACAAAACAGGGGGAGAGGCCTCCATCTGCTGTGACTAGATGTTACATTGGAGTCCTGCATCATCATCTACATCGATTACCTGAAAAAAATAATAATAATTAGGCAGAGGCACAGAAATTTTCATTGTTTCGGCAGCTAAAATGAACAATTGTATTTATAATCACAATCATTATCAAATCTCATTCATGTGTGAGGGGTGTCATATGGACCTACATACAAGGGATTTCTCAAAAGTTCTGCCAGTAGCCCACAAGTCGTTATCAGAGGCGGCCACAAAGTGCTGGACCAGTTCGGGAAACTTATTTTTAACTTAAAAAACGTTTTTCACCCTTCCCAACAGAGATGGAGATGAGAAAGAGAGCGATTTCTGAGCCGGATCCACACTCCAGCAGTTTTTGATAAGGAAACCGTGCGCGCCTTCATGTTGTACGACTTCTTGGGTGGTCTGTCGGCAACTGCAAGCTGCGAAAAATTAAAGAATGTGCTTCATGGGCAAGCACCTGATCTTTCAACAGTTGCCAGGTGGTTTCGGCGAATTTCGCGTGGCGAATTCTGCCTTAGTGACGATCCTGGTGAAGGATGCCCAAAAATGGTGTCTACCGATGAAAATGTGGCAGCTGTGAAAGGCAGCAGTGGAGGAAGATGGACAAGTTACCCTGGGAGAAGCTAGAACTGGGTCTTGGGATAGATGCCAAGTCAATTTGGTGAATCCTGACTGAAAAACTCAACTACACAAAGAAGTCTGCCAGATGGGTGCCACATCTCCTGACCCAGGAGCAAAAGGAGGCTAAGGCACGTTTCTGCAAGTTTTTCCTTGAAAAGTTCAAAGAAGGCACTGCGTCCACAATCAAGAAGATTGTAACAGGTAACGAGACCTGGTTTTACAATAACGACCCAGAAACAAAGCTGCAGTCCATGGTTTGGTTGGCTAAAGGGGCGCCTCCACCAGCAAAAGTTCGTCAGGCCAGATCAACTGATCAAACCATGTTTGCCATCTTCTTCTTGTCTGCTGGCATTGTGGCATCAATTCCTCTTGAAGAACAGTCTACAGTGACATCTGCATGGTACACAGAGAGGTGCTTGCCTAAAGTTTTTGAAAAGCTGCTGGGAGGTCGCCCCAAGAAGAAACTTCACCAGTGGTTCTTGCATCATGACAATACGAGGGGTTACACGTTTCCGCGCGGACTTGCAATGATCTGAACACCAGGGATTTTTTTCAGGTAATCGATGTAGATGATGATGCAGGACTCCAATGTAACATCTAGTCACAGCAGATGGAGGCCTCTCCCCCTGTTTTGTTCCTAGTTGACTTACCTGAGCTTAAAGAAGATAGTCAGGGTTGCAATTGTGCCTTTGCATTTTACTCTGCTGCATTGTTTGTGGTTTGATTGTTTGTTTGGCTCTCTCTGCATTGATTATTGATGAGATGCTTACTTGGATTGATCATTTGTTGATAGGTTTCCAAGATTTGAAGAATTAATGGAGAAGCTGACTCTTTTGGTCACAAGTGTGTGAATGGACATCCTTGAACACCAGTCAACTACATTGTGTAGTCATCTTGTTGAGGCATGGGGTTGTCTTATTCTAGCTTTCATGGAGTACGGCCATTGTATTCATCTATATCTTGGATTTTGTCATTTGCAACTCATTGGCTTCTCTTGCATCTCCTTGGCATCTGAGTTGCATCTCTGGGATTTGTCCCAAAGCCCCCTGTGTCCTCCCATTCTGGTATGTGTGTCTAACAGATTAGGTCATAAATCCCAACTCTAACTTTTGAACCTGCCACAAGACAGTGTGGGAACTGCAATTGGGAGCCAGCTGGAGGCCAAATGAATTTGTGGACTTAACACATTAGACTTGAGACACTTCTTGCATAAATTGACTGGAGCCTAAATTGGTTGGAGCAGTGGACATCCTGAACCAGGCACACTGGATNGTCATGTGGCCGCTTGAAAAACGCTGATACCACTTGCAGACCATCGTTTTCTTTGGGGCAGAATCACCAAACACCTCCTTCAGCTCCTTCAGGCATTCCATGGCTGTCAAGCCACGACAAAAGTTGTAGCAAATGACAGTTCGAAACTCTCTCACAGTCAAGGCCGCGCGAACGCCGCGGGAAACTGGTACGACATCACTCGTACGGCTCCTGCGCCCTTCCATCCTGCAGGAAAATTACGAAAAAAAAATGAGAAGCCTCCAGTAATGTAGACAGGAGGGGGAGAACGTCCGAACCGGCTGGGAGCTCGAGATATAATGAAGTCCGCGCGGAAACGTGTAACCCCTCGTACTCCTGCCCACACTGCACAGAAAACTGTCAACTTCATCGCCGATTCTGGAATCGACCTGCTGACTCTACCACCATACTCACCTGACTTGGCACCCTGTGACTTTTGGCTCTTTCCAAAAATCAAAGAGCCACTCCGTGGAAAAGTCTTCAAAACTCGGGAAGAGCTCAAAGAGGCAGTGAATGAACAGCTTGACAGGCTTGAAAATAAGGATTTTGAACAGTGCTTTGATCGTTGGATCCATTGCATGAAAAAATGCATTGAAATCGGTGGGGAGTATGTGGAAAAGGTGTGAAATAGTTGCCTGTGGCAATAAAGATCAGAATTTAATTATGGAACACTAAATTTTTTTTTCTTTGGGGCTACTGGCAGAACTTTTGAGAAATCCCTCGTATGTACATCCAGTTTGAGGCAAAGAAAAGTTCACAACATAAAAAATTAGATTTTGTTTCCTTTCTTCCTAGTATATTTCCATATCATTCCTGCTACCTGCCTCACTCACCTTAAATGGAAGAATTTTGCAGGAGCTTGCCATGGTGAATATTGCTGTTCCACTCTCTTGTTCAACTCATGTCCCACTAGTTTGGATGAGAAGTGCAGGATTTTTCATGCCATTGCACAGTGGTAAAAAAGTTGGAAATTCTTGGACAAAAGTCATATTTTGAAAATGAAGGAATAAAAAATATTTTGTCATTGAAAATTAAGGATTGAAGTCCTTGTCCAATATTGCTATTTCTCCAGGCTTTCCTCTGATCCTTTATTAGCCTTTACGGGACACGAAGATCAATGATTCAAACTTTTCTTAAAATATAGAAACTCAATGCCAAATTGTGAAAAAAGTTTGTCATATAATAAGACTGTTCTTGTCGCTGTGGTTTCATCTAGTGTGATCTGAAGGTGTACCTAAAGGTGAGTCTTGCTTATTGTGTGTACAGTTTTACTCTTGATGCATATGCATCACTCGTTATTTATTAGATCCTGTGTAGTTGATTGATGAACTACTTCTAATAACAAGGTATTTTTATGAAGTGAATTTGAAATACTTCAAGATTTCTTGGAGAATTAATTATAGGCCAATGAGTATCTATTAATGAATAACAAAATCAGCCCCTAATCTCCTGCACCCAGCATTGCCAAAGATGAGGAAATATATTTCAAGACCACTTCCAGCCAATTGGCATTGCTGTCTGAAAAACTCTTGGACTTTCTACAAGTCTTAACCCAAAAAACAAAGAAAGATTTCTGAAAAGCTCAGCACTTTTATTCACACTGTCCTGAATCATGAAAATCTTGGTTTATTTTATAATGGGCTTCAGTGAACTTGACCAACACAGGAATGGCACTCGAGTCAGCAAGGTCAGCTTGGTTCATCGCCCTCATGGTGTTGTAGAGGTCCCTTCAGGTCAAAGGCTTGGGCCACCTTCCTTAACCCTTCAAGCAGTTTTCATGAACACCGTATGTTCATCACTTAGGTCAGGTCAAAATGCAGTGCTTGAAGGGTTAAGAAATTACAAGACCAACAATTTAAAAACAGTCCTCATTTTTGGTGCAGCTGGGTGCAGGAGATTAGGGGCTGATTTTGATCTCCATTAATAGATACTCATTGGCCTATAATTAATTCTCTGAGAAACCTTGAAGTATTTCAAATTCACTTCATAAAAATACCATGTCATTAGAAGTAGTTCATTAATCAACTATACAGGATCTACTAAATAACATGAGTTATGCATATGCATCAGTAGTAAAACTGTACACATTATAAGCAATACTCAACTTTAGGTACACCTTCAGATCAAACTAGATGAAACCACAGCAACAAGAACAGTCTTATTATATGACAAACTTTTTTTCACAATTTGGCATCAAGTTCCTATATTTTAAGAAAAGTTTGAATCATTGACCTTTGCACCACATAATGGCTTATAAAGGACCAGAGGAAGGCCTGAAGAAATAGCAATACTGGACGAGGACTTCAATCCATAACTTTCAAATATATATATTTTTTCTTCTTCCATTTTCAAAATATGACTTTTGTCCAAGAAATTCTGACTTTTGTACCACTGTGAATTGTAGGGAACTGGACACAGTGACCTTCCAGTCTCTGCAGCTGAAAAGAAAAGACATACCACTTCAAGAAAATGAATATATACATCCTCAGGCGTGTCATTCTCAATGTTTTACCCTAAAAGCCAATGCTCATATAAACTTAAGTCCAGTTCATCCACATCTACATGACCATGATCCACATTGTGGAACACATGTTGCAAGAAGAATGGCAGCAACTAATGGGAAATACAATATTAAGAAAAAGGGGGAAGACTCAGATTGAAGGAGTACAATTCCATTTGTCACCACCTCCTTCCCATCCTCAAGTCCACTTATGGAATACATATTGAAACGAACCATCTCTTCATTTATTTCATCAATGTAAAGGATCTGGGGCTTAATGCAATGCTGTACACATTCCATTCTCATTCCTGCGAGTCACCACATGCCAGGATGAGAACAGACCGGATGCATATTTTCTCTCTGCCTAATGATGCTTATGTATACTCACCTCTCCCACCCTTGATCAATTCCCATATGCAAGAATTCATTGAGAGTACTGAATTGAATGACTAATACTACTAAGGTCATTGTGTCAGTTATTTCTTTGCCTTTGTGTCATTCACATCAGGTGTTTACATTTTACTTTGCTAGTCCTATAGAGTATATAATGATTGTTAAATGTAGCACATCTTCAAAGCGTCTCTGCTGATTGTCATGCAATGAGCATCAAGGAGAAGTCAGAGACAGAATAGCCACAAAGAAAGTGAAAGTCCCAAAAATAGAAAATTTTCATGTCAATGTCAATCTTGTCATTAACTGAATAACAATGTCAGAAATGGAAGAAAGAACAGAGGAAAAAAAAAAAAAACAGGAACAAAAAGAGCAAAGACATGAAAATCATGTAAGTGTCAATAGTGCATGTGATGGATAGGAGTCATGGGTAGAGAGACTTGGCATCAATGAAGTCCAGGAATGGTCTGCATGATGAATTGAGCACCACCAAGGTTCAATCAAATGCATTTTCAGCCTCTCTGGTGTTGTTCAGCACCCACAAGTTTGTATGCAGGCCTTGACTGAAGCCCAGTGGCTTTTAATCATTTTTATGTTACAGCCAGTTACAGGTTGCTTGAAGGTGACAGTGGTTGACAGTCTTTTGGATACATTTATATTGGCTAAGTTGCATGAGCAACTTCAAACAACTAAATCTCCATCCTTGGTGTGATGTGATATTTGATGAGGGGCAGTAGTCTCAAGATCCCAACTCTGAACAAGAAGAAGACAAAGTTCCATGCATTCATCATGAAGCCAGACTTCCAAAAACCCTGGGCGCATCTATTATGTCCCCATTGTTTTGTTTGGCAGGAGAAACAGCATTCCCTTGCATAAGGCAGCCTTAGTTGTTTTGCTGTGCCCTGCAAATATATGCATCCTGATACTCTCACAAGTGGACTATCATGTATGATCACCAGGGTATATCAGAGATAATGTATATCAGAGACATGAGTGCGGGCACCCAAAAGCTCACCAAAAGTAGCTCTCATCAATCTGAATCACTTCTCCCGGGCGACCGGGTTGTGCATTTGCAAAGAGCACCTGGAGGACTTCTCTCACCACATGCCACCCATCACTGAATGTCTCATTTCAATGGAACAGAATACTTCTTAAAATGCAAGTTTACACTGGGTGATGGTGAGATAGATGGTCCATGCCCAGGCAACCATTAAGATGACTCTTATAGGGAGCTTCAAGCAGGTCCAATCCAGACAATCCTTAAAGGCAATTTAAAAAAACTCACCTGATATCTGTTATGGACCCTGAACCCAAATTGCATGCCTTCTCCTCATGACACTCCACACCCCCTAGCATTTCTTGCAGCGGCAGATTGCATGTGCTTTCCCATTTAACTTCGGTGGCATCCCTCAAGGTACAGCCTTCTTTCAGGCTTGGAGGTGACTGCTGTTGATCCCCTGTACAAAGTAGCAGCCCCTTTTCTCAACAACATGCAATGACTGCTTCCTCCTGCTGGGTGACGGCAACCAATTTGCAGATGTTGATGTCTTGCTCTGCTGAAAGGTGAGTGGGGATTTTCAAGGGCTGATAGGTTCAAACCCCATCAGCTTCCTCCAATCTGGACGATGTTGCAACACTTCTAAAGTTTACTCATGTCGCATAAAGTCAGGGGCTGCCACAACGACCACTTTCTACTTGCTCGTGATCCTCCAAGAGACATATGAATCAAGACCTAAGATGTGGATGCGACGTGACGATTACTCATAGAAAAGATCACTACAAAACATGACCCCTTCAAGGTTTCATGGCAGACGAACTTATTATGGCCTAGGCCCACCGTAAATCTACGCGTGGCGCAACCATAAGAGGCCTAAGATACGTATGGCCTGGCTTCTGACAGGAATTACTAACAAGAGCAGCGAGGAGAGGCAGAATATGCATAATAGGCAGAATGGTGAGGATAAGAGATGACGGATGGTGTCGCAATATAGGAAAAAGGGAAATAACCACTACTGGCATCTGGTGGCAAATGTATGCATCACTCAGAAGACGGCGCGTGAGCGTCGGCTTCCTTCAAGACCTCCAAAAAAAAAAAGACAAAAACCCCATGCCGAGGTCTTTTTTCCACTGAGGATACCCGATGGCCAGCAATCATCATCACGCATGGGAGCACGTGCTCAAACGAAGGCTTAATTCTTAATTCTTAATTCTCAATTCTCAATTCTTAATTCTTAATTCTGACTTAATTCTTTTATTCACTTTACCGTTTTCATTAAAGGGGCGCGAGATCCTGAATAAATTCTTCGACTCATTGAACACCCCAAAGAAACTCATTTTGGTGTGTCATGCGTACTTCGGGGCAACGGTTGGGCAAATGGACAGACGTACTCTATAATACTTCTACAGGGATAAGCTCTATGAGGTATCTCTTCAGCCAAACCTAGTGTGTCTTTTATTTATTACAACAGTGTTTCCGGAAATGATTACAACCCCCGTTAACATGGGCTCCATACTTTTCAATGGACCCTGTTGGCACTCAGCAAAGTAGTACTTCTAACGCTAGCAATAGATGTCGCTTCGAGCAATAGAAGCGTAATCGAGTCCTCAATCTCGCCGTAAGACAGTGGTCAGTGACCAGTGTCGGAGTCGAAAAAGTATAATGTGCAAAGTATATGGCAAAATCATATATTTCAGCTCAATATAAAGTAATTAAGTTACGTTTGATTTAAGATTTCAATAAATAAATAAATATAAATATAAATAAATAAATATAAATATAAATATAAATATAAATATAATAGTGATTTATTCGTGGTTCTGGAATAAGTGTGCATCAGCAAATTGCATTCCATCGTCAAAGGGTAGACATATAAGGGTAGCCCAAATGAAAGTGGGATTGTCGTGAGTCCGCCGTCGCTTGAAGATGCAGAACGCTGCGCATGCGGAGCATGGAAGCAAGGTCACCGCCTACTGTTCGTATCATGGATGCCTCCAAACGCAGTCAACGTGCAGTCGTACAATTTTTAACTGCTGAAGATGAGAGTCCGGTTGAGATTTATCGTCGTATGCAAAATGTGTATGGGACTGAGTGTCTGTCACGCACTTCAGTGTTCCGATGGTGCAGCGAATTTCGTAAAGGACGAACCAGTACGGACGACAAGCCTCGACCAGGTCAAGCGCACATTCAACTATGTATAGCCATTATGTTCCTTATGTATCACTCTTTATCCTGTAAACTTACCACACCGATACCATTAAACCATTTGTCAAACCGACAGCAGTCCCACTTTCATTTGGGCTACCCTTATAGAAAGGGTAACAAAATTAAGGGGTTTGTACTGAGCCAGTGCGGCGGTCTTCTCTGGTAGTTTTCTGGTTTATCAAGCAGGTCATAATGGAATTGCTGACTGGTAGAATCTGCGCGTGCGACACTTATGCTTTTGCAAGAAAGATTAGATGTTTCTTAGGTTCATGGGTGGGCATTGTCGGTGGGATGCCATCACGATGGATTGTTTTTAGGAGGGCATGGGCATATTCAGATGTAAGATCCAATCATCTTTTCTGCAAGGATGGGATGCCCAGGATCGACAAGACCTTTTCGTGAGTCTCCTATTTATGCCCAAGGATTAAGCGCAGGGCACGCTTCTGCACCTGTTCGATGGTAAACACGGCTCGGCTGAGCAGGGAGCTATTCCAGGAAGCGTAGGCGTTACTCAAGAACTGGCCGGGTATACAGGTGGTCCTCCTGACGTGCGCCAAAAGATTTCAATATCTTTAGCTCGTACATTAGCACTCATTACAGAAGTGCTTTCCGGGGCGAATGTGCTCGGTATCGTTTCCTCGGTATCATTGGAGGTTTTCTTTTCCATGTTTTTCTTTCACTCATAAAATAATTTCATCAGTGAAAATTTCACAATCCCATGATGAAGTCCGTAGTCCATCCACTGTATCAGGAGGGGGGGACGGGGGGGGGGGGGGGCACTCACTATGTCCAAGTCCCTATATTTACTTGTCTTTTCCATTTTTTCATGACCCCTGCCTCCAAATGGTACAGTTTCGGCCCGAGACGATATGAATGCCAGCAGCGTTTTTAATTTTCTTATTGTACAATACTCACAGTATTGTACAATACACTTCTGTAAACAGAAATGTATTTTACTCATGCAGTGTCATACTCAAAACGGGATCTTAAGACCTGACCCACTTACACCTCTACCGTTGTTCTGCTTGTGAACCTTATAAGCACGTCCTTAGTTCTGATGATAAAGACAAGATGTCTCTCACTTCACTGCAGGCAACAGTGCCACGGAAGGGGGGTTAAAGTCAATCCGGAAACACTGTAGCTGAATTACCCAGTGTTGCCCAGGGAAATTCAATATTTCATGCATGACAAATTGAGGAACGTTAGCCTTATGATTTCCTATTAGTTATCGATCTTGGGCGTCGCAATATGCGCTCGGACCCCTTTCCCTTTTTTAACTTTATTTTTTTTTTAGCACATTGAATAATTTTTAAATTATTTTGAAGTTAGAAAACTTCTCGGTGAAATGTTTTTATCGTTTTGAAACATGTTATATTAAAACTTAGTCAAAAGAATATTACTTACTACCTACTGTAGTACCCCACATCGTCGTCGTCGGCCAATTCCAGGGTTTTTTTCGAGTTCTGCCTGGACCCAATCAAGTATGGGAGCAATAGGGGGATGATGATGCAGTTATTGCCAAGCCCTTCGGGTAAGGATTTGTTTGTTCATCACGATAGAGTGCGAGTAGATTGACAGAAGTTCTGAAGACTGCTTAGGCAATTTTTCTTTAAGTAGGCCTACCTACCAGAAGAAAACGGACGGCGTTCCCGCTCCTTCTTGAAAAGCTTGCGGGAACGCCGTGGAAGCAGTGTTGTCACGGAAGAGCGTTCTTTCCTGGTTGCCTTTTCGTGTAACGCGACAGTGTTTTGCTTTGCCCAGAACCAAGTTGAACAACGAAGGCCATGCCGTATATTTTCACGTTCGTGTCGCTGATTTTTTCCTCCATGATTTTCCGGTTCCGTTTTCCTTTGCCTTAAACTCGTCAATATTCGCGATATTCAAGTGACGCCAAATAACAGGGCGGGACAGCATACAACAACCGACTACTTGCCGCGCCTCACCAGCAAAAATTGATCCTCTGTCATTTCGGGTTTCTCGCCTTCCCCCCCCCCCCCCCCCCCCCCCCCCCCCCCCCCTCCTACTTAAAGAAAAATTGCCTAAGCAGTCTTCAGAACTTCTGTCAATCTACTCGCACTCTATCGTGATGAACAAACAAATCCTTCCCCGAAAAGAGGAAACAACCGTGAGACGGGATTCTCGCGGACATCCACCGCGAGAAGCGCATTCCGAGTCCGGGAACGTTCGAACCGTCCTGCGACGACCGCGTTCGTGAAGGTCCTGAGGCGAGTACTTTTGTTTAACGCTGCCGTCCGGCCGAATACCTCATGGTGCGACGCGTGTAAACATCGACATTCCATCCCCCCCATCCGCCCGAGAGCGAAAACAAAACGTCACGGTATAAATCATGCAAGCGTCCCATCCGAGAAGGACGGGTGGCCTTGAAACGAGGAAACGCACGGGCGTGGAAGGCGGCTCGAGCCTCGACGACGTTCAATAGCGCGCCTTTTCAGGTTCACTTGCGACTCGCGGGGGAAGGGGAGCAACGCTTTGTGCTGCACTCTTGCAACTTTGATAACCGCTAAGTGACCTTGAAAGAAGTCGACACGGCCTCTTACACCCACATGCTCCGCGTCGAGTCACTCACACGTCCCTCACCGATCACTCGCTGAACATCTGTCGCGAGACTAGGACGAGTGCAGCGATTCGGGGTTTTTACGCTTCACCCCGCCATTTTAGACTTTTTTTAACAGAGAAAAAAATATTACTGACCCTGAATAATATTTTCGTATCAAAACAAAGTAAGACTGCCCCAGCAGCGCCAAGGGCCATTTCCTAATTATCTCCGAGACGTCACAGGGATTGAAAGCGACCTTGAGGACGACACGGAGATAATCGGATCCGAATTCTTTCGTGTCTCTTGTGAACCACGAAGCGTTCCCGACCACATTCTCGGCATTTCAACAAAAAGACATTTCTATTCTCCGGAAGACAGAAAAAAGAGCGGGAAAGGAACAGGTCTCTCGAAGAGAGAGAGAGAGAGAGAGAGAGAGGAGAGAGAAGACGCTCATCGGCTGATTGAACGCCGCTCGCCTCAACTCGAATCGACAGCCGACGCAGCCTCCATCCATCCACCATCCATCCGCCCTATTTACTCGCCTCTCTCCCTCCCCCTCGTCAGTCGGATGCAGTGAACCGCCGCCATGCCCGCCCTCGCCCTCCTGCTCCTGCTGCCTTGGTGGGTCCTGGCCTCTCTCACCGTTTTTTCCGGGTCGATTACGTGTCGTCGTGCCGGATTTTTTTCGAGTGCGATTTTCGTTTCGGGACGAGTTCTGGTACGACTCGATGGGTGGTCTCGCGTTTCGCTTCGCCTTGCGGTAAACTCTCGCAATCGATCCGAGGACGCACGACCATGCATGTTTCCAGGTCGGGCCTGTAGCTACCAATTAACACGCGTTGACTAGACTTTTGAAGTAAACATTCGATTCGTTCAACGAATGTCAGTGTAACGAACCCAGTGACTCAAGCATCGCATGTACAAAACATATGCTGCAAGGGCCCCCGAGACCCACGTCAGGGTCAAACCAGTTAAACCAGAGAGTAACTAGAGGCTCCACCCCGCTCGAATCCCATTCATCGACACCCTGTCGATGAATATAACATATATATATCGCAATATAAGTGTCACCGTCGATCCTCCACCTGGCCGGCGCGCATTAAAAACTCCACGGTCGAGCAGCGGACTCGACGAGACACGCGTTGAGGGATCCCTTTGGGTCGAATCCCCGAACGAGTCGATTCCCGATTCCGCTGCCACGAAGCACGCCGAGAGGAAGTGTTGTCGACAACATGCTACCAGACTAGTTACACTCTCTACTCCGTAGTTAAACCTGGAATTCCCACCTGAAATAAATCAATTTCTACGAGGTTCGCGCATTTTCAAGCTCAAAAATATCTGGGACTTCTGCGAGTGTGAGATCATGCAGCTGATGCAACGTCATAACGACTCGCTGCCAAAGTGCGATGATTAACACCTGGAGAAGATGGAAATGTTTATTATTGACTTCCATCTCAATAGTGTTGAAGCACTCTCTCGGAGGAATTTTGTGATTCTTGATGCCGTGCCAGGCCTTTTAAGATCCATTCGAGTACTCCTCGTCGGTACTTTCAGCATGTCAGTACTTTCGACGTTCGGAGTGGATGCAAAGGACTCTGGCAGAAAAATATATTCCACATATCAAGATTTTATGTACTGAACGACAAGTTATCAGAGGTAATGTGAGGTACCAAATGATACTTTAGTCGTAAATTTGGAAACGTTGGGGAAACATCGGTCTTCCCACTCCTGCTTCATTGCAGCACCATTTATGTGATATTTGTTCACTAATATGGAAGTGTCAGCGTAAACCCAGATTGGAGCCTGCCTTTCAGTTCTGGGCCTGCAGTCGACTGCGTTTTCCGGGATCGCCGCGACTTTCGTTTCGTCGACAAAATAGCATTCATCAATGTAATTGTTGCTGTTTTTACAGCTGTTGTTATTATAATGTGTCACGAACGGGACGTGCCTGTTCGTTCCAACAGAGAATCACAGTGAGCAAGAGGATTGACAATGCCTGACAAAGCCAGGCATTTCTCGCGCTAAAAATCACTAAAAACACCACGAATGGACATGGGCCGCTAAAAAGTCCCCCCCCCCCCCCCCCCCCCCCGAAAACGGGTCCTTTCTTTGATCGAGATGAATGGAGTCTCACGAAAAACCTTGATCGATAGCGGGGGCAGGCAGTCAACGTGACTCGAAATGTGAAAACACACCTTCACAAGAGAGTACCAGCCCTGTTACAGATCTGCCATTCCCCTGGCCCCTGTACCACTGGACTTATCATACATATTCACCGCATCCTAACCATCCAACCTCTAAATAAATAATAGCTATCATCGATTTGGCATCGGACCATATGAAAAGGCACGGAGAGCAAGGCATGTTCTCGATGGTTCGCGCGTCCACGTTGCGAGGAGTTGGGAGGAGAGGATGTGCAGGATGCCAGATCCAGCACTTCGCGCGTACGCCAAGCAACCCTGTCTACACGGCGGGGAGCAGACGCTCTCCTTCGTTGTATATTATGGATCCGTCGACTGCGAGGACTGGAAAGGAAGTGGATGTTCGAGTGGAAGACGGGGACCCCGACCCATACGGAAAGCTGCGCGTGCGCAGAGGATCGTCTCGTCCGGTTGCCATGGATACTGCGGATCGATAGAATGAAAAGAAAATGACAGACCGATCGCAATGTCTGCCATTTTCCCATGGTACCAATTGGAATGGCAGATAAAAATTCCGTTCGTCCATGCCGACATGCACTTCCTGATGAACGTCTGCATTCGGATGTATGCACTCGGTTGAGATCGAGAGAACAAAAAAAAATTACTTTTCTGTTTTGCCAGTGCCTTTGCGGCAACGACGAGACCGAACAGCGTCATCATCCAAGAACTGACGAAGAACTACAGCAAGCTTGATCTGCCTCCAAGTGATGGCGAGTGCAATTTTCTCAAATCCGCAATTTCGCATCGGAAAAACGGCGCGTTGCAATATCTTTTCTCTCTCGCCTGCGCGACAGGAAACCCCGTGGACGTGAACCTGAACGTCTTCCTGGTCAACCTGGACGACGTCGACACGAAAAACATGGTTCGCGAAAAATCCGAAATCCCCACCCCGGCCGAAACCCCCCAAAGGAAACCCCAACCTTCCCGGAATCTTCCAGGAAGTGAAACTCGACCTCCTGCTCCGCGCCCAATGGAAGGACCCCCGCCTCGCGTTCCGCGACGCCCAGAGCCTCCGCGTCCTGGACCCGACCGTCCTCTCGGCGTTCTGGCTCCCCGATCTCTTCATGAACCGGGCTCACGACGCGGAGATTCACCGCTATCCGTCCAGCAACGAGATGCTCCGGATCTTCGGTGACGGATCCGTTCATTACAGTCGGAGGTCGGTTTTCCTTTCCGCGACTCGAAAATGCTTGTGAATGAAATATACCTTGCTCGTGAAATTATATATTCGATCGGAAAGTTCTAAGCCGAAGGCACTTCAAGTTGTAATACACCTTTTTTTCTACTTTTATCACAAGACAGATGTCTTTGATGGCGACTGGCAAAATTGCATCATATTTGTCATAAAAATTATTCGAAGATAGCTTCGATTCATTTTTTTCAACGTGCTACCAAAGGGTATGCTGAAGGGGTATAAAACGCGACATGAATGCTGTCGTGAATTTTCTAGCTTCCGAGGAGTCAATCTTGCCCAGGAGATCTTCCAGCAGGTAAGAGGTTAGGATCCTACTGATACCTCCAAGAAAGATCTCCATGGAGATCGACTCCTTAGAAGCCAGAAAATTCATCACAGCTTTCATGTCGATTTCATGGAAGCTACCGTCAATTGACGAATGTGATGAAATGTTGCCAGTCGTCTTCAAAGACATCTGTCTTGTGATAAAAGTAAGAAAGGTGTATTGCATTGGAAGTGCTTATAACTTTTTAACCGACACGCACTTTTCCTACTAATTGTAAAAAAAATTTTAAATGACTTTTTTCAGGGTTTTCACATTTGGAACCTGTTGTCGTCCCCAGGTACAGCGTCCGAATGCCTTGCCCCATGAACCTGAAGCATTACCCGCTGGACACCCAGGAATGCGAGCTGAGCCTCACGACCTGTCAGTCCCCCGCCCCATCCGCCCCCGCCCTTCCCGCCGACCGCAATTAACGTGTCGCCCCTTAGACGGGAGCACGGTGGACGAGGTGCGCCTGAGGATGGAGAAAGTCGGCTTCGACCCGAAGGCGGACGCGAGCGTCCCGGAATTCCGCCTGGACAACGTCACCGTGGCCCCGAGCGAGGACAAGGTCGCAGGGAGCGGTAAGGCCAGTGTTTCTCGGTTCGGGGATGTTTCGACGCTTCGTTTCCGCCTCTCGGAGATCATAATGTCCCATTTTTCATACTCAAATACACGAGCTCCATCATTCGTAGAGCCCCAATTCATAATTGGCACTTCCGGCACTTCCGAGTTCCTCAACGCACATTGCCCGCGATCCCTCCCACCCTCCACGACGAGAGACAGCGATCCCGCATTTGTCTCGTTCCAGGGACTTACTCGGTCTCGGGAATCGTGTTGCACCTCCGTCGGCTCCGAACGCGGCACTTCGTCTCCTTCTTCATCCCTTGTGCCTTCGCCGTCTTCGTCGCCTATCTCTCCCTCTGGCTCAGATGTGAGGAGCGCGAGCATACCATTTTTTCTTAAATATGTATTTAAAATACTATATGATATATATATATATATTTTTTTTTTTTCTAGCGTGTTTGCCCCGGGTCGTGATTTGCGTGGGGATGATGGGCGTGTTGGTGTACATCTGCGCCGCGGATTCGCCTCCCGTCCCGTACACTACGGTCAACACTTTTTCTTCCTATCTTTGCTGGTCTTTCGCGGCAGGGATTTAAAAATGGCCTCGTTTTAACGATGGCTTCGTTCACCTCAGAGCCGAGACGTGTGGGGCGGCTTCTCCTTGGTTTTCGTCACTATCGCACTCATCCAGACCGTTCTCATCGACTATTTCGGCCCGTTGGAGGTCCAGATTCCAATTTATACATATAAATATATATATTTTTCTTTTTTCATGGAAAATGATGGGGGATAAAGTGTTGCTTCCTTAGATGCAGCAAGAAGAAGACGCAGAAGACGAGAAAAAGCCGTCGAAATGGTGGAAATGGGGCACTGCGAAATGCGAGAAATTCTTCCGGATCTCCTACCCCGGCCTCTACATGGGCTTCTTCATCGTCTTCTGGATCGGTTATTCTGTCTGACGAAACCAAATATAATCGCCTCTCTCCTCTCTTCCCGTTCTCTTCTCACGCCTCGACATTTCGACGGTGGACGAATCGCCGCGAAGTCCGGACGGTCGCGGTTAGTCGCGGTCGGAAGCGCACGCCGCGACACCGTCACGTACATCGGTCTGTTTCGGTGCGATCGTTTCCTGAGACACCTTACTGCGACGAGGGACTCGGAGCGACTTCGTCTCAACAAGCATTTCTCACTACTGTCAAATATTTGCAGGCAAAGCAAAGGGAAATCGGTATGACAATTTATTTGCATTCTCGATTGGCGACAGCCTATAATCGAATCTGGTCCGAGTACGTTGAAACCCATTCCATACTAGGATTCTCTCACCGCAAAATAGCCAAACGTAACTGAGTTCAACTCACGAATCTGCGATTCGCAACGCAGGTATCATTCGTACTCGTTTCCTTAACCAGCAGAAGAACCCAACTACCCGGTGTAAGTATACATTTCGATCGTGATCGATGTAATTCGATAGCCCTCCAGGACCCCTATGACTGATCGAATTTTCATGCTTAGACCGAAATCGTGGTTGAGAGCGAAAATATCGTAATCGAGAGACATCGGGTAAATGGATCACCAGTAAAAAAGAAAAAAAAAAAGAACAATTGCGATAACTCACGAGCGAGGAAGAAGACAGCCGGCAGCGGCACAGCTAGCACCGAAGGAGAAGGTGGACGAAGGAGCCTTTTCATCCCCTGGCTTCTTGCCCCCGAGGAGATCCACGGCGTCCTCCCTTCCCTTTCCCTCTAGATAGGTATCTGCCAACCGATCTGCTTCCTTTTCCATCAGTTAAACAAAAAAGAGGAAATTTAACTGGTAGAGTCGATGGGCTTGCGAAACTCACATTTTCTTTCCTCTTCCTTGACGTCGGCTGTGCGGAAAGGAAAAATACTTATAGAAAATCAAAAAGCCACCTCTGTCAAGCCTGACCTGTCTCTGGAAACAACGTTCGGGGCTCAGCAGGATTTAAATGCCGACCATGGGGGAAGTCATGGATTTATATGAAGACAAAAACTTTCGTGGACTGAGAGTCGAACCGAGAGAACGAAAAAAAAAATTTTTGCGGTTAGTGTGTAATTCGGTGGGGTAAGTTAGAAGCCTACCTGACATTGTAGCGACAAATTTGATCGACCGACTTACCGTTTGGCTAGGGATATCGAAATGGCTATTGTGGCCCCACATCCTGAGGGCCGCGAACCATCCAGCCCATAAAAATCAAGGAATTTTTAAGCATAATATGCTGCAGTATTTCATTCTTTGTTCTACATGGGATGCAATAAGTACCCCACAAAACGACCGAAAGAACAATTCCACCAACACTTCCGACATGCAAGTAGACATCGACTTCATCACCCGAATAGAGTCTGAGGAGGATGGATTGGCCTGTCGCGTGATCTTGTGTAGATGCGTGAAAAACTCCTTCGTCTAATCCAGGGGTGTCAAACACAAATCGGTCGGCGGGCCGCATTCCTTACCCTCCAGATGCCTGCGGGCCGCACCCATAAAATTTCACTTAAATTTGTGCTGACACTCAATCCATGCGGAAAATTTCAGAAGCAGACGGCGGGCCGGATGAACCACCTCTGCGGGCCGGATCCGGCCCGCGGGCCGTATGTTTGACACCCCTGACTCTAATCCATTTCTTCTGATATGTACGTCAGCCGTATCGGGTGTCATACAATGGAAATGAAACGCATAATTGCCGTCCAGGGGTGCAGTGAAAATCCCACTGCTCGGTTCGATTGCGTCGCTAATATATTGACATCCGCCAGGTAGTAAGGAATCGTGGTGTTTTCAACCGACCATTGGGTTTCGCGATAGGCATGGAAATAGACGCCTTCCTCGACGATACGACCATCGGTCTCTCGCTCAAACTCGACGTCGTCGTCTTCCAAATCCATTCGACAGAGGACGACATCCAACCGCCCTTCCTTTCTCCGAATCATGTAATGACCCGTGCGAGTGTGCCCGGCCCGGCGAAGAGCCGCACACGACTCCGTCGGGTCGCCCAGCGGCGCGTGGCCCCTGGCACCAAGGCAGGAGGTTTCCCGACATCAAAGGCGCGGCCACAGAGTGCCCAGTCTTCTTAGTATAAGGTCTTTGGTGCGATCTATACTCTAATAAGTGCTATTGTTTCATCAATGGAGTCAAAACGTCTTACACGAGGCCTTAGATCATCGCAACTCTCTTTCATCTTCCAATCCTCTTTCACAAGAAAGACACGAGTTCTCCGTCGGTAACTGCTGCGGTTTGTCTCCCGAGTCGAGGTGGTAAAGTTACAAGTATACCATGGAGCAACTGTCCACGTTGAAAAATGGGATGATTGAAGTTTAGCAAGGAGCCATCTTTGACGGCCGACGACAGCGTGACGTCAATTACCATCGACGTTATGATGATCGAGTTATCAGATATTTGGGTTCGATACTTAAGACCCAGATCGAGTTGTTATATTTCGATCATAAGCGAAAGGTATACTTAGACCGGGTAAATGGATCACCAGTAAAAAAAAAATAAATAAATAAATAAAAACAAAAAAAGAACAATTGCGATGACTCACGAGCGAGGAAGAAGACAGCCGGCGGCGGCACAGCTAGCACCGAAGGAGAAGGTGGACGAAGGAGCCTTTTCATCCCCTGGCTTCTTGCCCCCGAGGAGATCCACGGCAGACCAATGCCTCCAGGGTGTGGATCGAGAGGACAAAATACACCTTTGCTTTGCCTGTAAATGTTTTCCAGTAATGAGAAATGGTTGGTAAGACGACGTAGCTCCTTGTCTCTTGTCGCGGCATGCAATTCCGATAGTGTCTCACCGCGACCGTCAATTTTGTATCCGTTTTTTTTTCTTTTTTTTGCTGTAGCGTTAAGTGGGAAGTTAAATTATATTAATTTCGTCTAGAAATTGTATCTTTTTCGAAGGCAGCTGTAGGATAACAATACGCAAAGAAAAACGAGGGCCACTTAAATTTTCAAACCTCACCTATATTGTTTTTTAAATGCCAGAGGATTTAATTCTCTACGGGATTGAATACCACCAGCGTGGAGCCAACAACTTTCGTGGACTCAGTCGGGTGGCTGAGCGGAAAAAAGTAGAGTTCAATTCAATGGTTTAGTTAGTAGCTTATTGGTCATTTTGTGAAGTGTTTGATTGACCTACCTTTTGACCAGGTATGCCGAAACAGCTATTGCGGCCGCACTGCCTGTGAGCAGCGAGCCACAAGCTACAATATCGAAGAATTTCACTGCATATTATGTCGCAATATTTTATTCTTCCTTCTACATGGGATACAATAAGTACCCCACAAAATGGACCACGACACTAACATAACCTCCACCGACAGCTCCGTCATGCAAGAAGACATCGACTTCATCACCCAAATTGAGTCTGAGGAAGATGGATTGGCCAGCCGCGTGCTCTGTAGTAATTACGTAAAGAATTCCTTCGTCGAGTCCATTTCTTCTGATGTGTACGTCAGCTGTATCTCGAGTCAAACAATGGAAATGAAACGCATAAATGCCGTCCAGCGGTGCAGTGAAAATCCCACTGCTCGGTACGATTGCGTTGCCTATATTGACATCCGCCCCATCGTAAGGAATCGTGGTGAATGCACTCGTCCATGCACTCGTCTCGAGCGATAGACATCGAAATAGACTCCCTCCTCGGCGATACGACCACCGGTCTCTTCCTGAAATTCGACGTCGTCGTCTTCCAAATCCATTCGACAGAGGACGACTTCCAACCGCCCTTCCTTTCTCCGAATCAAGTAATGACCCGTGCGAGTGTGCCCGGCTCGGCGAAGAGCCGCACACGACTCCGTCGGGTCGCCCAGCGGCGCGTGGCCCCTGCAGACCAATGCCCCCAGGGTGTGGATCGCCTTCTGGCCCTTCAGACCGCCGAATCGGAGCTCGGTGATGGGCAGGGCGGCTCCGTCGGTGATCGCTCCCTCGTCCGATTCCCATCGGGGCGCTTCCGAATCGCAGTTGCAAGATCGGGTGGAGTCCACGCAGTCGTCGGTGAGTCCGCACTTGCACGTGTGTTCCGCGACTCGTGACCCGTCCCAATAGTACTGTCCGTTAGAATAATAGTCCGTTGGAATATAATTAATTTTTACTATCGTTAATAGGGCGAATCAGAGAACGAGCTCGAGTGCGACATCTCGCTCAATTTGCGTCTAACTTCCATTGTTCTCCTCAGATGGAGCTGGCATCAGTTCCACTTCCTCTCCAGAGATGACGCTGACAAGGGCTTAAGCGTATATCCTGTAAGTCTAATTTTTTTTTCTCCATTTCCAGTCAACAACGTATGTTGGGGAGTTTTGTTGTGGTGCACTTCTGCAGCCATACCGCGAAATGGTTTCCTATCAGTACAAAACAGGCAATCGGAATAGAATTCTACCTGTACACAGTCGAACATCAACATGAGTAGCTTCTGTACTCAATTTCCCTAAAATATCTGACTGAAATTCTAAAGCAGTTCTTCCAAACCTCCAAAATATTCTGCATGTACTTGAAAATGAAGCAAAACTTTTTGAAACTTTGTTGAAATCGTATCCTCAACGTTTGACGGCTGTACGCGAAGCCAATGGCTGTCACACAAAAACCTGATGCATCTTACTTTATTCAGGATGAGTAAAAGTTTAAACCGATATGAAACACACAACAAATTGGAAATAGAAGAGTGGCGAAGCTCATGGAGAGGTCCAACTAATTTCAGAACGAGCATATACCGAAAGATAGAAAGACTTGATTTGGCGTTGATTCCAAGTTTCAACATGATTTCATCTGAAAAATTCATTCTTCCCGCGCTTTTCGTACCATGAGGGAAACTAAAGATAAGACACTTGCGATGTCGGATCGGGAAAATGGGGCACAGCCTTCCTTTCCTGCTCCTTATCGTCTTTTAATTAAAAAGAACGTAAAAGCCGGATTCTACCTCGTGTGTCGCAAGAATTACAATATTTCCGCAGGTGTTCCGCCTCACGCGTTTTCTCTTGCTTGGAGACTCGCCATCGCGACTGTAGTACGAAAACGGAATCTGCGAGATTTGCGATTGGCTTCTCGAAATCCGGCTTCATTGAGGAAAACATCGTTGGAATATGTTAGCCACCTGGACGTCGACGAGTCACGCGATCCCGCTCCGTTTCCTGCTTGTAGAGACTCGAGCGGCTGTGCGTTAGCGTTCCCGTCGTTTCTTTCGTTTATATTGGTCAATAATTTAGGAAAAACGTTCATTTGATTGAAATCGGAGGAAATTTAACCGCAATCCCAAAGCGTAAGAAGAACAAATTTTAAATTAAGATTCCCTTTAAAAATATTGAACGGTCTATGAACATGTAATACCATTGGAACATTATTCCTCGGAATTGCAATTTTGATTATGGTACGGATCTGATACAAATTCATACAACTTTGTTAAAAGTATGTATTCTAAAGAAGTACTCACCTTTCAAAATGCAATGTATTTTCGTCGTCACCTAACCTAACCTAACCTAACCGATTTCTTCGCCTTCTGGCGGATAAGGGTCACCTCGGATCACGGTGTGACCATTGAAACTTATTAACGACTTGAGGTGCTCTAACGATCGGCACCGGTTTCATTGTAGGGCGCAATTAGGCGAAATCCCATAGAATTGGGCATCCTTCTTTCGAAAAAGGACAGTAATTTATTTATGTCTGATTGGAACCTGTTTCACTCACCCAAATGGAAGATTCCTAAATTCAGAAGATACAATTCAGCCTCGATTGTGGCTATTTCATTTTTCCAGACGACTATAGTCTCAAGTCTGGTTAATTGGAGCGGTGGCAAAGTGGTCAAGGCGGTTTCCTCGATTTCTAGGGTTATAAGTCTATCTCTCGAAGGCAGAAAGGCCAGTGGATGAAGGGTGCTCAAGGACGTCCGCCTGATATCGATGAACGTGAAAGAGACATTACCGAAGACTCCTTCTGGTAATTCTCGAATCTCCTTGTTGTCGTTCAGGTGAAACGACCTGTAAGCAGGAAAATAATCCTACCCGCATGGAATAATCCTTCAATGCCCTCCTATCAGTCCACCGTAATTCAATAATGTTTTCATTTTTCCCGCGCAAGACACCTGGGCCAGTTTACAACATAGAAAGTTTGGAAATTGTTTTGAAATTAACGTTATTGGCTTGGTAAGTACGTCATGGAAGAGAAGACTATGGGTGAATTTGAGTTCTTCCTTGTCAGTTGGTTCAAGGGTGGTTGTTTGACTGGCTGGAATTTCGTGGCAAAGAAAACCATAGCAATTAAGGTTCTTTAAAAATAGTTAATACAAAATTTCGACACCATTAGTTTAACGGTGCTAGACATTTCTCTCATTGAACATTGAGCACTTAATTTGAGTGAGATTACCACTAGGACAAAAATCAACGCCTTCTAATCTACTAAAGCTACTTCATATCTCAATTTAAAGTTTTGAATCAGGATTTTTCAGCTTATTGGTAATTTCCCCTACAACTAAACTTTAATCGCATTCCTCAAAATTCGGAAGTCCAGTTCCAGTCTCCATGAACTTCGAGCGAAAAGCTGCTTTCAAATTTGTTTGTCTAGCAGAACAGATATTTCTCTCGGGAGTTCCTTCACGACTCGAGCAGGAATCCCATCGGGGCCGGTCGCCTTTTAATTTCCTTATCATATCTGCCAGAACATACCACTCACCGATCGTGTGTATCTCCGCCGAGGGTCTAAGAACTCAGGGTACTTGTTCCATCTCCGTGACACCGCTAACGACCTGTCACGGTCGGTCGGTTGGCTCCTGTCATTATATTATGCCTGCTCTTTTAGCAGGAAATAACCGAAACACCAAGCAGGATGCAAAGGAGCTGTCGTTTTCATTCCTCACCTTCACTTCATCGTCAGACCCGAGATGGGAAAAGGCTCGCCCTCCATGGAGGAGAAATGAACATCGCGATCCTCATCCCAAAATCACTCCTGGTGCATTCCGGATCGAATCATATTCTAGCGTCCTCATCGGTTCTCATAATTGGTTGATGGGTGAAGCATGAGTCATATCATTAATAAAAGGTTCAGGTTTATCCCCAATGAGGCAAGTGCCTTGTTTCCGACAGGAGCGAAAGACGTATTACTTTCGTCTCCCACAGGTATTTCAATCCACTGCGCACTATGCCCTTTATCAACTGTTCGTTCACACAGCAGGCTTATGTCCCATGTCGGTCACGTTCATTGTCCTTATTCACCGTCGAGCGCCTTGCCATGTGCTGCTTTTCACACCCGGGATGGGAAATCCAGGTTGAAGCCTATGAAAACGACACTGGGGATTCGAATCGTTAAGCATTCGCATTAGTTCACATCGCCGTGAAAATGCAGTTAGCCAGCTTCTTCCTTTCCCTTTCATGCATCTTCCTCGTGTTCCAAGAGACGGCAGGGCAAGACGTTTGTCCCCATCCCGAGGACATCTCTCCCTGCACCTGCAGTGGCGATCCTTACTGGACTCACGTTCGTTGTTCATTGGCGACGTCGATCGACGAAATCATCTCGGCATTCAACAATGTCGTTTGGCCCTCAACCACATATCGGTTAGTAATTATATGGGAGAAAAGTAATCGTTTCTTTTTAAATGGCGACTTGCACTCGGACTAGGTGATCTCTCAGATAGAAAGGTCGGAAAGAGTATGAGCTTTCTTAGAGAAAACCTATCAATTCTTCACCCAACCAATGGCAGCTATCTGAAAATCTATATTTAGAAATTGGTTTATTTTTGTATGGAATGATAAAAGATTGCACTTGCGAAATGAAACGTAAAAATACTTTCAAAAGAGTCGAGGGAAGGGAAATGTAGACTGCCAAGAAAAAATCAATTAAAATACAATTCAATTGTATTTAGTAAAATCTTACCATGTATCCACGCATCCTTAACTTTGATATAATAAATCACACATTCAAAATTTTTTGCTAGATTTTCCGATTCCTAACTGACCCTAACTTCTTGAAACCCTTCACATTTGGATTAAAATTATGCAATTCATGTTCACAAGTGAATCCGATTACATAAATATTGATTTAATTAAAATCGGTTTAAGGTCAAAAATTGGCTAACCTTAACATTAACATTAACCTAACTTTTTCACATTGCTCAATTTAAAAAAAAAAATTTTTAGGTTTGGATAAGGACGCCCTCTCGAAATATACACATATCTTTGAAATTGGTTTAAGGGCCGAAACTGGGCTCCTTCCTAATTTTGATGAATGTGATTAAAGTTTAGTTGTTTGGGAAATTACCAATAAGCTGAAAAATCCTCATTCAAAACTTTAAATTGGGATATGAAGCAGCTTTAGTAGATTAGAACACGTTGATTTTTGCCCTAGTGGTCATCTCACTCAAATTAAATGCTCAATGTTCAATGAGAGAAATGTCTAGCACCGTTAAACAAATGGTGTGGAAATTTTTGTATTATCTACTTTTAAAGAACCTTAATTGCTATGGTTTTCTTTGCAACTAAATTCGAGCCAGTGAAGCAACCACCCTTGAACCATTTGACAAGGAAGAACTCAAATTCACCAATAGCCTTCTCTGGGCCCAAGTGTCTTGCGCGGGAAATATGAAAACACTAATGAAAGATGGACTGATAGGAAGTCATTGAAGGATTATTCCATGCGGGTAGGATTATTTTTCTGCTTGCAGGTCGTTTGACCTGTACGACAACAAGGAGATCCGAGAATTACCAGAAGGAGTCTTCGGTAATGTCTCTTTCACGTTCATCAATATCATCAATATCACGTCCTTGAGCACCCTTCATCCACTGGCCTTTCTGCCCTCGAGAGATAGACTTATAACCCTAGAAATCGCGGAAACCGCCTTGACCACTTTGCCACCGCTTCAATTAACGAGACTAGAGAGTATATTCGTCTGGAAAAATGAAATAGCCACAATCGAGGCTGGATTGTATCTTCCGAATTTAGGAATCTTCCATTTGGGTGAGTGAAACTGGTTCCAATCAAACTATGCATTAATAAATTACTGCCCTTTTTGAAAGGATGATGCCAATTCTATGGGATTTCGCCTAATTGCTCCCTACAGTGAAACCGGTGCCGATCGTTTGAGCACCTCAAGTTGTTAATAAGTTTCAATGGTCACACCGTGATCCGAGGTGACCCTTATCCGCTAGAGGGCGAAGAAATCGGTTAGGTTAGGTTAGGTTAGGTTACGATGAAAATACATTGCACTTTGAAAGATGAGTACTTCTTTAAAATACGTTTAACAAAACTGTATGAATTTGTATCAGATCCGTACCGAAATTAAAATTACAATTCCGAGGAATAATGTTCCAATGGTATTACATGTTCATAGACCGTTCAATATTTTTAAAGGGAATCTTAATTTAAAATTTGTTCTTCTTACGCTTTGGGATTGCGGTTAAATTCCCTCTGATTTCAATCAAATTAACGTTTTTCCTAAATTATTGACAAAACATAAGAGAAAGCCAATAAACCAGACAGAAACGTGAACAAATGATGGAGTGTAAAATCGAGAACCAATTGTAAATACGATAAAATAATGCTATATTCTAATGAACTCATGTATGAATAATGTAAAATACGATATCAATTAGGTGTACAATTCTACAATTAGTTTTCGTACATAAAAACAATAAAAATCGACCCGAGTATTCTTCATCAGTTATGCAGTACCCCGCACCCAACGTCCAGCGAAGCAGCGGGTATCGGAATCTCGGATGAGTACCTGTCATATCCGAGGTGTCACAGAACTGGCATAACATGCGCCAGGCACCCAACAGTTCCCAGTCCATATTTGCACTGACAACAGCATCTAGCAATGGCCTCGCCACCGCTCTTCGCCAAATCTACTAAAACGTTGAAATGGTATTTAACAGAGTTTTGGTGCCGAGACCAGATTCGTCCGTGGATCAGAACTGCGTCATCAGCAATGTTATGGGATCTGAGTTGTACTGTAGTGGTCCTGTAAGCCTGCATACTTGGACCTCGTATCTCACACGAATCGTGAAATGCTCTTTTCTTAGACGCAGCTTGCTTGAGCTAATAAGACCCCAGCGCTATAAAACGTTTATCTGCTTCTGTCAACCAAGGAAACTCGATTAACCCTTTGAGGACCGCGAATGGAGAGGGAGGGCATCATCTCAGAGCCCAGGCTTTTCTTTCCTACGGTTAATGTTAGTTTCCCACCAAATCCGTACATGGGTCCTTACATCTCCCTTCTCCAAATGGTTATTAACTTGGCCGTTAGAGGCGCCAGTATCTGGCCAAGGAAAGGAATATGGCCTCCACATATTATAAACCCAACCGTACATCTCGTACGTGCGTGGGTTTTCCACTGTTACCGCCCACGGCCGTACACTTACGTTCGTGGACCTCATAGGGTTAAGGAGCTTCCATCGATAAACTGAAAATTCGCAGACCTCCGGTCGGATACTAGCTCCGCCAAACGATTAGGCTCATGGAGCCTGGAAAGCATAGAACCAGCCATGCTTTCGCAATCCCCTCTGTCTGATTCAATGCTTTCATGGAACGTATTTAGGATCACGCCTGCAATCCCGAAATCCGATATCAAATGGAGGATGAAATTTTATACCACACTTTCTCGAAATATCGGAAACACCGCTTCTGCCGACCATTTGCAGCCTCCACAGTAAAGTGGCATTTAGTGACCAGGCGTGATCTGTTTCGCCTGAGCTCTATTTAGTTCTCGAGTGCCAGCCTCAAGAAACTCAGGCATTTTGACGTCGAACCCCATCTCATAGAGGGTCGACGACACGACGAAAACATCGCCTCGAATGAAAAAAGAACGAAGACCAGCTTCAGTCCCGAACAGCTGCGGCATGATCTGAGCATCAGAAATGTTCACTGCAAACACATCTAACAAAAACCCATCCAGAGCAACTGCTAAAAATGATTTGAGAAGATGCTTGCGACCACTTATAAGATTTTCTCTGGAAGGCGTAGTTGGGGCTCTTCTGGATGCAGACAAAGGTACCATCCAGATGGTGATTACCTTGTCTACATCATCCCCGCAGAAGAGTCTCCTCCAAATGTCCCTCCGAAGTCGGATTTTATTCTGAACTCTTTTTCCCAATAGCTACTTGTGTAGCAAGTTTCAGATTTCTAACTTCTCTAGAACATGGCAGGAATTAGCGTGTCACAATCGCCTATATATATTAGAGATGACTGTGACACTTCCATTCTTCAGGTCCAAGTTAGCAGGTATTGACGCCTTACATGTCGAAATCGGCCAAATTATGTTGCCCGATTTCTTCGCGCTCTGCGGATCTGGATAACCTCGGATCAAGGTGTCACCATTGACACTCAGGCATTACTTGAGGCGCTCCATCGATCGGCACCAGTTTGACTGTGGGACGCGATTAGGCAAAATCCCATAGAACTTGGCCATCCCCCTTGGATTTTTGTATAGATATGCAAATTTTTTCAATATTATTCAAAGTGTGTATTCTAAAGAAATGCTCATCTTTTGAAATGCAACGTTATTTCATCGTAACCTAACCTAAAATGACCTAATCGATTTCTTCGCCCCTGTGACCGTAGACATGCACTACTTGAGGCCGTAAATGGTCATCCTCCTTTCCTTGCAATTCATTATCCCTCCCACTTTCTTTCACAGTCAAAAAACGTGGAAGAATGTTCGTAGTGCGTGCGTGCTGACGGTAAAACGGGAATTTCAATACATGTATCTTAGCTAAGGCACTTATTAGTTTTCGTCTCTGAGAGTAGAGCTATTAATTTCGTTCCTAACTCTGTTCTATCAATAGCAATTCTCCGTGAAAATGGGCACTCGTAGCGTGCCTTAAGAAAGGTCTTCTGTGTCCTTTCCAGCATACAACTCTTTTAAAGTCTTCAGTAAACTATTTCGCTTGAAAATATAATAAAAGCAAAAATAAATTGTTTCATAATTACGAAATTTTGTGCCTTCGTGTTTTATGTTTTAAATATTTTACGTGTGCAGTTACCTTGGATGGATTGCAGACGGGTTCATTCTACCTTTTTCAGGTAAAAATCCTGTTTCGGAGGTCCAGCCTGGATCCTTCAACAACTTGAGGCACTTACAGTATTTTAACTGTTCTTCCTGCTCCCTTGGACCAACTCTGACGGCCGGATTCTTTGCATTCAACAGTACATTCATTTATCAAATTGATCTCTACAATAACTCCATCTCAATGTTGGAACCGCAAGCAATCTCAGGTGCCCGTCAGAATCAGTATTTCCATCATCACCTTCTAATTGGGAGTTCCTGAGCCAGTGGGCTACAGACCGTCTTCCTGTCTTCATTTTAGGTTTTGGACCGAGAGCAGATATAAACTTATATGACAACAAAATCAACGAATTAACAGAAGAGGCCTTCCGCCCTATGATGGAGATTCTCACAGGAGGGGATGGGATTATCGACTTGTCTGGTGAGTGTGCTGTTGTCCACTGTTCATTTCAGCATGATGTTCAACATCCAATTCTCTCCTTTTCTCTGCCTTCTCATTCTCCTCCTCTCTAATTGTATCTCAGGGAATCCCGTGGAGTGTGGATGCAGCATTGCCTGGTGGGTCCGAAATCCGGAATTCAATTCGACTCTGAGGGGTCAATGCACCGATGGAACTGATTTTCACGATCTACATCCAGATGACTTTCTAGACTGCATGGAGAATGGACATTCCAGTTGATACTTTCTCATTCCCCTTTTGTGACAGAATGAAACACTTCTTAATCACGATTGCGCTTCATTCACTGAAAGAATGGTTTCACTCATGCCAAATACAGATTTGGCATGTGCTGTCTCTGTTTGAACACATTCCATGACTTCCTGGAGGATTTTACTCTCATGAAGATATTGTTCATAACCATTTGGAAAACGTTTTCTACCTTTTTCAGTTTTGTCTCTCAGGAAATGATATCATCTATGGCTCCACGTGCATGATCCCACTAAAGACCTACGCTCCAACGCTGTGATTGAAAGTTCATGGCGATTGATGGGTCATTTTCAGTCATCAATTCGACACACCTCATATATATAGGGGAAACTCCTCCTAGGATGATGAATGGATTTTCATGAGTGAGATGTCAATCGACAAATTATGCCCAGGAGGCGATACTTTCTGGGTTAGAAGTCCAAAAAGTCGGATGCGGACATTGTTCCTATGCGTCCGCCTGTCTGTTCGTTGGTGTCCTGCACGGGTTCACTTCTCTGAGTTGAAATTCGATCGCTCTAATTCGAATCGTTGCCCGCAACCGATTCGGACCTCGATCGTCGACCAAACTTTGCTGCTCCGACCCACGATTAGTGTTGAGCTTTTCAGGCCAAACCGCTACTTGCTTAGACATCTAAGCTTGCGAACTCCCGGTCTTTGTTGAAGTATGCTCCCAGGGTCGGAAAGATCCCTCGCACATCTGCGCAGAAGCGCTTTTTTGGGTGGAACACCTTTTTCACGGCGAAGAGCACGCCGTGAAAAAGGACTGGATGGCGAAGCGCCTCACGGACTCGAGAAACTGCAACACCTTTATATCGCGAAATCTGGGACTCATAAGAATACCCTATACAACGAATAAAACATAACTCTTTCCAATGGACGGGTTGTGTGTATTCCACGTCCGGTCATCTCTCGTTCATATGCATAGACATCATGCAAAAAAGGCTAATATGTCCGTGTCATGGTGTCATTCCGGGAAACTCCTTTAGACGATGAACTTCATGTCAGACATCTTAATCGAACGCTTGTGACCTGGAGAGATTCTCCTTCCAACAAGAGGAAAGCAGTCCTACCATTTTCACCTCATAAGGTCAAATTCCGAAGATAAGAATAGCATTGCATAGAGCGCCGTCCTGGGCGAAGTAGTCACACAATATGGCCCCCACTCGACCCTGAATTTGCGATCAAGTTTGACTATACAAGTATGGGATGAAGATAGTCGTACCTTGGCAATCCTGGTTGCACGGTGGATAGATATCTAAACGGGATGATTGGACCAACTCGAGGAGGCAGATATTACGGACGACTAGAGTTCCGTTTGAAATATCTTCAGTCTTGACAATCAACAGTAAGGGGAATCAGACGAGCTCGAGGACTTGATCGGACTTTCAACACTTGTCATAAGGTCATGCAGCCAAGCTATGGCCCCCCACCCCTCTTGCAGCAGGGCATAAAAGGACTTGTCCCAAACTGCTCGAAACTGTTCTTTGGCCGACTTGCCCCAGGCAACCCGACCTCAAGGCGGGCTTTGGGAAGGGGGCTAGCCTCAGACTGCCTATCCAAAGCTGCTGTCACTCAGAAAGAACTCTCTTCCGCTCTTACAGTCTCTTTACAGTCATTCCTCGTCTCAACTCGTCGAGTTTCGTCTCTATAACAGGCCAGTAGATTCCCCCACCCCCCTTTTTTTGTTCTGTTGAATCATAAGATGTAGTAATATGAAAACCAATTCTCAAAGGTTTTCCCTTTCTTCAACACCCCCCCCCCCCCCCCTTCTCTACGGAACTCACTAGCGTTAGGCCTAGACCTAACCGACGGACTGTCTTCGGGTCAGGCTTAGGCCTTCCTTTTTCCGCTCAAAAGAAACTCGACCTACGGACCAATTAGGCCTATGAGGATTAACACAGTCTTCGAGACACCTCGTTGAGGACGTGTAACGTTTGGCCAATCGCAGGCCTATTCAGTCTCTCATGGCCCATTTAACAGAACACGTGTAACGTTAGACCGATTGTAGGTCTTTTTCGAGTTTCATGAACCACTTCAATGCGGTCAGAGAAAATTAGGCCTAACCCAGAGTTCCTCAAACCGTCTCGACTCGTTCCGAGACGAAAATGCCTTTAGGGCGCATGACACACAAGCTGACCGCCATGTTGATTTAGGGATGCCCCGATGAGATATCTCCGTATTCCACCAAGTCGATCGGCCACTGCAAACCGCCGTTTTAATTTTGGCTCATCCCGTGATTTCGGCACAATAATGTTTCCTACATTAAAAAGAGAAGATCCAGACAACGATACTAAGGCCGAATGAGTCATGAATCTGACATAACTCCGACATGATATCCGGCAACACTGGGGGACGGGATCGGAGCTAGCGCTCTAAGCCTAAATGAACAACAGCTAATTTCCTTTTTTTTTTAGTCAAAATGGTGCATCGCAAGCAACAAAAAGGGCACTTTTCGTCATCTACAAATCATTATCTTTCTCTTGGTTGGTCTGGCTACATAGGCATCGTTCATACTCAGTTCCTACACCAGCAGACGAGCCCAACGGAACGACAGGCAAAAAAAAAAAAGAATAAGACAATTGCGATGACTCACGAGCGAAGACGGAGACAGCTGACGGTGCACGCTCGCACCGAGAAGAACGGGAAGAAAGCAGCCACTTTCATCCCCTGGCTTCTTCCCCCTGGGAGGTCCAAGGTGTCCTCCCTCCCCTTTCCTTCTAGATAGGCATCAGCCAACCGACCTGCCTCCGTATCTTTCAGTTAAAAAAAAAAAGGGATTTTTAACTATTATAATAGAACGGACCAACTCGAAGAGACAGGTATTACGGCCGACTAGAGTTCGGCTTGGAATATCTTCAGTCTTGACAATCCACAGTAGTAGGAATCAGAAAACGAGCTCGAGTCCGGCATCTCGCTCAATTTGCGTCTACCTTCCATAGCTCTCCACAGATGGAGGTGGCGCTGGACATCGTTATCCATTCCTCTCCACAGATGGCGCTGGTGCGAGACATCGGTACTCATTGCTTTTCCTCAGATTGCCATGGCATTTTTCACAGATACCCCTTTCACAGACGGCGTTGTGCATTAGTTCTACTTAAATGATGCAGGGCATCAGTATCCCTCTCTCTCGATGGATGGTGCTGGCAAGGGCTTCAGCGTATCCCCTGTAAGTAAATCGAGTTTCTTTTGCAATTCCAGTGAAGTGACAACGTATGGTGGGGCTTAGTGGTGGTGTACGTCTACAGCCATACCATATCAGAGTTTCCTATCGATGCGAAATAGCCAATCGGAATTTGATTCGACCCGTATACAGTATAGCTACATAGACGGTTTTCGCACTCCACTACCCCGCCAGCAAATGCACCCAATGGCTCGCCAAAAATAAACGTTAGCGACTTACGTGCACGGTCGGAGACATCCTCCCTTGCTCGGCGAAACCGCGGCGCATGCTTGCACTGACGGCTGAGGAACGAAGGAACCTTTTTATCCCCTGGCTTCTTGCCCCGGGGATAAAAAGGGAGGTCCACAGTGTCCTCCCTCCCCTTTCCCTCCAGACAGGCATCAGCCAACCGACCCGTTTCCGTTCCCATCTGCGTTTGTGTCATTCCCATCGATGAACGAGCGCATGGACTGAAGCGGACTTTTAGTATTTTCAGTTTTTTCGGACGAAACCTGAAATCATTGTTCTCCTTTTTGTAACATTTTTATTCCCGCACGAATCACTCCCAACGAATCCCAAAGCTAAATATTGAACTTTTTCAGTTACATATTCAGGCCTTCCTTATGGCTCCGAAAGCGAGATCCGAATCCGTATCCAGGATCTGCGGCTGGATTTCGTCGAGCCGAATCGCCAGTGGCTCGGAGAACCGGCGAGGATCGCGAGGAATCTCCTCACTTCTGGGGCAAATCTCACCCGTTCTCGAATCTCAGCGCCTCGTTTCCTCAAATCCTTGCACCTGGATCGAGGAACAGGCCCGTTTCCGAGTTTACGCAGAAACGAACACCTCAAGTTTCTGACGGGAACATTTCAGCGACGAAACCCCCTACGAAAGGCCGAATTCATGCCATTCACTCGATTCCTCTCCAGTCCAAGATTTTCCTCGCGACTTCGGACTTTTCCTCCCCTGGTTTTCCAAACGAACCTGATGGTAAATTTTTCGGCGTCAATGCTTCAACCAGAGACGAGACGTGCGCCGACCGAGACGCGATCCACCCCGACATTTATTTTTAATCGCTTTTTTCCTACACCATTTACGACTCTCGATGTATATTTCCTCTTCCAAGCGGGATCCCTTCTCCACGTCGGCATCGTCCATCGTTCCCGACTTCAGCTCTAGAACGACGAGAAAGAAATCATTCCAAGCTCATCCTGAGATCACAAACGATATCGACCTTCACGAGAAGGTCGGTATCGAAAGCAAGACGCCGCACGCACGGAAACGACCCCAAAGAAGCAGTCGACCGCATTCACGTCGCCGAACCCCCTCGCCACTCCTCGCCTCCCTCTCGCGAACCGGCGACGCAGAAGTAGACGAAGAAGACGCCGAGCACCGCGACGGCGGTCGTCGGCGGGATCCACCACCATTCCTCGAAGCGGATCGCTCCGCACCGCTCTTCCTCCGCGCGCACCGACGCGCACCCGAGTCGCACGAGGAAACACAGCAGCGCAGCGAAGCGCATCTCTTCGGTGCGACCGGTAATTTTTCAGGTCAGCCTTTATTCTTGCGCACTTCGAGGTAAAAAAAAATCTCGGGTGCTCGCTTTTTCGAAAGTCCTTAAATGCCATTCGCCTTCATTCCTCTCTTACTATTAGACTGAGTGATTTCCTCTCTCACGATGAACCGGATCTTTCGAGGCGAGTCGTCGAAGCAGCGATCGAGTTGCAACCACAAACAGAAGGCAAAAACGCAATCATTAATATCATTAGTGATCCTACAGAAGCAGACGGGTACGGCCGAACGATCGCTCGGTCGACGAACCACGACGCCAAATTCCACGACTTCGCCTTGCCCGGCCCGAGAACATCAGCGACGCCGAGCGGTCGAGACCGACGGCGGCGGCGGCCTTCCCCGACCGACTCCGAGAGAGGTCAAGGTCTTTGCGAAGAGAATTCTTCCTCGTGGGGCGGGGGAGAGCAGACGACGAGCCAGACGGCCAGCCCGCAACAGACGAGGAGGCACGTGGAGATGGGGATCCACACGGCGTCGGCGAATCGGAGACGGCAGGGCTCCGGAGGCGGTCCCGGAGGTGGCACGGGGAGGTACGGGGCTCCAGGGTAGCATCCGATGCAGGGGGGCGACAGCGGGGGCCCGCACCGTTCCCAGGGTCCAGGCGCTTCTCCGACCTGCAACCAGACCTCGTCTTTCCCGTGAAAGGAGACCAGGGAAGCGGAGCCGCGTGGCTTCTTCGCCCTTTCGACGGTACGGACGAGTAAAGACGTCCCGAGAGAGGCGTCTCGGCGCGAGCATACCATCTTGCAGGCCCACCCACGTGGGAGAGAACTCCGTAAGAGGGTTAAGAAATATCAGTTTTTATGCCACGCTGTAGTGACCGATGGGATCGCTACGCCCGCGCGATGGCAGCATCGCTCCGATGTCCTCCGGGAGGCGTGTGGGAGTCGTCCACCGTTTTATCCTATTTCTACCGGGCTACTTTCACCTACGAGGATCGACGCAACGAGTTTCATCGAGGTAGAGGTGGATGAGGGGCAGAGGACGAAACGATACGACTCCCCCTTTTCCGCTAGTCAGTCGGGGAAGTGGATTTGCTAAACGAGTGCAAGAATGCTTTTAGGATGAGTCTTTTTCGTGAGGCAGGAGAAAATAACCTTTGGCACCTCTTGTCGGTGCACCTAGGCCTACGAGAGAACGTTCATTCCCTCAGCGACGAACAATGTTAGCATGAACCTTGACGTCGTCGAAAAGGCAGGAATTCAGTCTGGGGCGAGAACAACGGACCTTTTAGACGTTCGGCGACGCCCACCCGACCACCGCGAGACACCAATCGCGTACTCACCGCACTCGACGCGCCGGGCCAGCAGCCTCTCGAGAACTGAACCCGTCGCGGGAGACCCACCCCGGCCGGTCCGAGTCGCCACTGCTCGGGTCGGAGGGGCTCCCCGGGCCTCAACGCGAGAAGCATCACGGCCATCATCAGCATTCATGCGAGGGAGATTCAAGCACTTTGCATCGTCGAGAAGAAAAACAGGCTATCTTGCACCTTCGCTCGACTCGTGGCACCCGTTCGTCGTTTAGGGATACAATTTCGAATTTGGCATCCCTGGTGCACGTCAGATGACGTCACGCTACACCGTTGGGTCGCGAGACTGCTCTCTACCGGTGTAGATGACGGGAAAATACGTTAAAACGAGCATTTCATACAGCTGTGCCCATGTTTTCATGTTTTTACTGGTCGTCCTCATCCGGATTTCACCCAATTCGAACGAGCAAATGCTTTTCAAGGCCCGAGACACGACCAAGTTTTAGCAAGATCGAATATGACCCACGTGACCATTGCGATCCTTCGCCCAGTGAACGTCAAATTAGCGCGTAATTGGGACGATTTTCACCTAACAACATAAGGAAGATTCCAACTCCTACATAAACAAGCCAGAAAATTTGCACACGCTGCTAAATGATATCCTGCTCCTCCGCCAAGCATAAACCTAGCCAACCTTCACTCATCTTCTTTTCGACTTAGCAACTGGCACTCAATTTAAAAACACTAAACTTGTATATCCATAAAACCTAGAGCCGTGAAGAAGCAGATTTAATGGAGAAGTCATTTGGATCCAATTGAAAAAGGGATATTGGGTTTCTGAGCTGATCCAACACCAATTTCGTGGTGTTCAACACTTGAAACATTTTTTTCCATTCGATATTACGAGAAAGAAGTATCCATGAAAGAAGTATCAATTAATTTTTGCTTTTTGCAGCGATTCTAGGCCTAAATGAGTGATTAAGGCCATCGGTAAGCAATTACGTCACCGATCACTTCTGGGTTAGTATGTTTGGGATATCATTAAAACAAGTGAAGAGAGTCAACAATGAAAAAAACTTCATTCTCGAATCAACAGACTGCACCATGAGATCAGGAAGGATAAACCTGGATGACTAGCGACCAGAGATGCCGAGGCCACACTCCATTCGGCTGCACATTGGGAGGAGAAGACTTCCAGTCCCATTGCACGACGGGCGTGAACCAGTCCTTTCCGTAGTTGGCCTCGACGTATGGAAGAGTCGGACAGGGGACCCTGAGCCGAAGCTCCAGGAAATCCGTCCAGCACAGTGAGAATCTTGGGAAGACATATCTGAACAGAGAGGGAGCGAAGTAACTAAAAATGAAATGACGGAAATGGACCAAAAAAAAAAAAGAGATCGGAATGCATGCAAACGAAACGTACTTGAACTTGAGTCCCGTTCGAGCCTGCGTTCCACCGTTCCACATCACATCTTTGCTCTCGTAGAAAAAGAACACGTCCAGTTTGACCCCTTCGTAGAGAAAAGAAAGCTCGTAGCTATCGTTGACGAGGCCGAACACGTGCTTGAGCTTGAAGCCGTTCCGCAAGAACACGTCCCGGATCTCGGGCTTGTAGTTGGCGATGAAGATCCCGACGTCCACGTCTTGACTGTAGGGGATGATGTCACATTGTCGAAAATATCCTGCAAAACGCAGCAAGGAATCAAATAACAGAGGCTGACTGGCATTAAAAAAAATATCAGCTTCCATTCGGGTAAAAATGTACAAGTCGATGCAGACTACCTAAACAAGAAGTTGGGATTTAAGGATCCTTACATGTCGCCAAAAGCTAAATGGATAAATGCCGAATATGACATCTGGTTAAAAAAGACAAAAATGGTGTTCTCATCACTCCAATGTTCACTTTTTTAGGTCTTCATAAGGTCACCATAAGCATTGACTTCTAATTGATATGGGGGGAAGCAAGGTCCCTTAACCCTTTGAGAAGTGAGTTTTCTTAACCCTTTCAAGAGTATGAACATACAGGTACATTAATGAAAGGTTAAGTAACTTGAATTGAATCATTCTAGGATTCAATGGGCTGACTCTTATGGTAGGTAGGTGAGGGACAAGGAGGAGTGGGGGAGCTGGGCAAAGAGAGGACTAATAGCTTTGAGAATTTCAGTGATTGGTGCTGAAACGACAGTCACCCGTTCGCCCACCCACAAACACAGGTCCTGAGGGATTAATAAAAGTCATGGGGGGGTGCTCAAACCCCCTGCACCACTCCCATCCACTTGTGTACATTGCTGCTAGGGTTGCTTGAAAGAATGCAATTTTTTCATTAGAAATGTTCTGCATATTACACAGTATGGTCAGCCTTGACAGATGATTCCACAATCAGGATAATATATAAACATCCCTCAGCATTCATAACCCACTATTGGTTCCTCACCATCCATATCCCTCCTTTTGAATTTGCACCCCTGCTTCCTCACCTTTCCATCCCATATCCATACATGGTATAGGAAATTAATACAGCAATTCAACATAATACACCATCACCAATTGAATAAGAAAATTGTAGTCTGTTCTTTTGCAACAATTTTTTTTTCCTACAGTTAAAGTGTCATACTTTTTGCTTACTTTGGCCAATCACGAGGGGGCAAGTCCTCTTGCCCCTGTGAATTCAGTGCTTATGTTCATAACCGTGTCATGGTACACACACCAGGAGTTACCTATTCTGGAACTGATGAAAACACGCTCCTTACTCATGCCACAAGGCACTACCTGCTTCTTACCCAGAGCTAAATGAGAAAATTGGCCCTAGGGTATAGTAGCACATTCCAATGACCCTTCAAGTAATACCTCCCATGACATTAATAAGAAATCCAGAGAGAACTAGTGTCAGCAGCAATAGCTATTATTGCCTAGAGGTACAACTTTCAAACCTGGTATGCCAGATACATATAGTATGATGACAACATACATAGAACTATCACAAAGAAGCTTCCAGTTCTCATACCTGGGTACCAAAAGTGCCTCCAAAAATATATATCCCTATGTGTGCAACAAATTGGTTTGACTGCTTTGAAATTTCATGTTTGTTGATGCTAAAGCATGCATAATAGTAAAAGTTGACAGCTGAAGTGTCCAGGTGATTTGTGGTTTAATGGCAAATGATATGACTCTTCAAGAGAAAAAGATTATTGCCTATGTAAGTGTTTTCTGATGAAGGAAAAAGACAGGGCAAGGGTGACTTGCTGAAGAGGGTAGTGGAAGGGGCTGCTAAAGCTACCAGGTACAGATCTGCTAAGGTAATTAAATTGTATGTTTCTATCCACAGCCATTGATTAGGAAATTTTGGCCATTGTAACAACACAAGAGAATATTTCTAATTCCACTGGGATTTAAAAAAAAGATTATTACAAGTATAAACCATATGGTTTCCATAATCAGACCTCAAAAGACAATGTCAGTCAAAGGCATAATGATGCAATCACAATGTACTACCTAGAATGACATTCTGTCCTTGGAAACCATAGTAAATGTAACCACTGAAAATGGAATATCTTTTGCTCATCACCACTTTCAGCATATAGCAGCTGTATTGAATACCCATATCTGGTTCTTGATAACTGCCAATTACATGAGTAGTTTCCAACAAACTCCACGTACATCTTTCTTACAAATATCTGTCAGTCACCTAGAAGCGATTATATACGTAATGACATCAAAGTTGAAACTTGCCCAGACAGGTGCCACTAGAGATCCAGAAGGGGACTTTGATGGAATCTAAAGCCGTCTTAGCATTGGCAAGGATCTTCCACGCTTTGTGCCGAAACAGGGTCGCCTCGCGGGACTCATCCCGAGGCCCGTGCAGATGGTAGAACTCCTGAGCCCTCGTCTCATTGCAAGGGATGTAGACGGAGTCCCAGAGTTCCCTTGTGACAGCCAGGGGATCTTTTGGGACCACGATGCCACCCGAAGTCCCAAGGAGTGGCATGCGGCGGGTTTCAAACCTGCAAAAGTGAGAATAGACAAATAATTTCCATTTTGTGCTTATGAAAGTTCCCTTTCTTTGTGGAAATCTATTATGTATTTTATAATTCCAATTGAAAACAGTATATATTTTTTCTCCCCAACAATGGGGAGGAGGGATTGCAAGTTACCTAGTCCTCATATTATTCTCGCAGCCAATTCTTCATGGAATTGATTGGCATAGCACTGCTAAGTTTTCACTTCATTTACATCACAAACCATACCACCCTGAATTTTGATAACACTTCCTGACAAATATAACATCTCATGGATGATGAGAAAAGCTGAAAGAGATGACATACCTATGAATGGAGCCATCATGCAGCCAAGGAAGTAATTCCTCAATCTGACTTGCCAGAAGGTCATCTCGCCAATGAGGATTCCACTCGAGACCCCCAAAGCGCAAGAACCCTGCATCTGTCTCATAGAGGATCACCATGTGGATGAGGGGAGACACGAGACCATCCAGCACCCCAATGATCTGATAAACCTTGTTGTCTGCTCGGCTGATCAGCGTCCAGCGAACAGCAAAGTCTTCTCTGTTCTCCCACAGGGGAATCTAATGATAAAAAATAAGTAATCTTCCCATGATCCCTATTTCATTTATCGGTTTCATCTTCTATCCATCCATTTTGCACTGCTGTTTTGCATATCACTGATAGTGGTTACAGTGGCAATTGAAGAGTTTTGTAGGCCTGAATAATATACATTCAAAATTCAATTAGTGTGTCATGAGGAAAGTCTCACTTTAAGTAATAAATAACAAAGATGACATGAGATAAACCCCTCTGCAACAAGATTTAACGACTTTCCATTTCTTCCATTGCATTCTAAGGGGTAAAAGAAAATTTTCAGTTTGGAAATGATTCATGTATTTATTATATGTTCCATTGCAAAATATTTACCTGAATGACAACAGAGATATCAAATGTTCAAAACTGCTGGACACGAATGAGAAGAATAAAACTTTCACCATTGTCTGATATTATAATACCTGCATTTGGTTGAATAAATTCTAATATAAATATTTGATAAGCTAGTCTAGCATCAAATAAATTATCCCACAGAAGCCTTGTTGCTGGTGACTCTGACCACCAACAAAATTCCAAGTTTCAAATGTGGCTTTCAAGAAAGAAAAAGAAAGGATATTTCAGAAAGGATAATCTCAGCAATTTTATGCCTATGCTTTATAAAACCAAACAGACTAATAAGAATGATAGAATGAATGAGGAAGACACAGGGTGATCATTACATTTGTTGATGTTGGAAATGCATGGAAAATAAAAGTGCATGACAAGCCAGGAATTGACATATCAGTGTCATTCTCTTCAGAACAATAGCCCATTACAGGATGTAGTTTCTCAGATGAAATTCATTCAGAAAAATTTTATAGGAAATTGAGCCACATAGAGCCCTTTTGGCACCTTCAAGGTATTCTGAACTGCTTATTATTTCCCCTACAGTGGCTGCATTCATCTTCATAATTTGTTTTTGAGTGGCTAGCTTTGTGAAGAGCTGTGCTGAACTTAGAACATTTGATGCCTGGCACTTCACATCTTGGATGCATGCAGCATAAAGCCATGACTGCAAAGAAACGACAACCATGAAGGAGTTACATAGTCAGAATAAGGGGCAAAGAACACCACAAAAGTGGGCAAATGGTGATTGTCACCCGTCTTCATGTCTTCATCTGACAATCCAAGGATTTTTGGGATAATGGGATTTTTATTCCCCATACAAACCAGGAGTGAAAAGATTCAATAGTCACCCTACATCAGAAAATACCATTTGATGAAACTCACTCCACGTTGGACAAATTTCTCGAAGACTCCAAAGGTAAGGACAGTCTCACTATGTGCCCCTGTGTCCGACCGAAATCGATCCAATCGATCGAGGACTTCCAAGTCCAACAGAACAGCTCGATAGGCAAGTGTCAATTGGAAGAGACTCTCCCATGACGAAGGCTGTTCCTCGGACTGTGTGAGGTACGAAAGGAGGAGCCAGTGGGTGGTCAGCCACATGATGGACACTCCAATGAAGAAGATGAGGAACATCTTCAGCTTCACCATTCTTGTTAACCATTCTCACACTACAGAGGGAGTGTGAAGTAAATATTTTTCAAGCTTCCATGAACAATGTCAGAGCCCAAAACTTTGACTATTGTAATGAGAAGTGTCCTTTGATGACCTACAAGAAAAACCATGAATCACGATGCAATATAATGAGATTGAAGGGTCATAACAGTGGCAGCCAAGGATATCATCTGAAGATGATATTCTGACCCAGTCAATTTTATAAAAATGAAGAATACAGCAGATCTGGAGTCCATAAATTCCTTCATTTTTGTGTATAAAATCATTATAATAGGATGCCATACCAAGTGCCAACATATGAATGCCCATTCCTTTGATCACAAATAGGATTTATATAATAAACAAGAAAATCTGGAATGAAATAAATAAAGAGACATAAAAAATGTGCTATCCATCTCCATGAGTGCATCCACCTCCATATCAAACCCAAACACAGACTAGGGGAAATATAACAAGGAAAATATATTCAACGTTGCTTCTGGTAAGCTTCAAAGAAGGTAACTTCACTCCTTTTCAGCAGAAAAAATCAAAACAGGGACAAAGACAGTCACGTGCAGTGATGAAACATCACAGAACTGTTAAATTCACAGTCTAACAAGATGAGCATCCCAGGAACTTCACCAGTCAGGCAAATTTGTGAAAACTTCATTCTGCTCAACAATAATAAAATCGAAAAAATTATCATGTGTTGACAGGGTGCTACTGTTCAGAGCTGCTGCATTTTCTGGGGCTTTGAGGAGAAGACATTCCATAGTCATCCTTTAATGTGAGAGGGAAGAGGTTCATGGGTGGCCTTCTGCCTCATCTCAAGCTGCCGCAATCGAGCATATCCCATGCTCCCACCCAACACAATCATGTTTGAGAGCCACCAGAGTGCAGGGCGCAGCTCATGATACCATACAGATGCAATCACAGTCTGGGCACAGGCTTTGGCTGTCCCTGAGATGTTGTGGGTGAGGGGCGATGTCACCTGGAATCAAAATCATTTGCCCATTCATTCAGTTCAAGGCTAATAATAAGACAATTTGTGGTAAAGTGACATCTTCCAGGCTGAGCTAGCATCTTGAATATAACCCAGACAACAGAAATTTCAAAATAAAATTCTTAATTCTCCTCATCTCAGAACCAGACCTGCATCTATACTGAATACACTCATCCAACTGTTTCCAGATCATAACCCATATACTGAGCCCCAGCCCCTGTCATTCACTAAAAAAGGTAGAAAAGTATACTTCCCCCTTTTGCTCAGATGAAGCATGGTGTAAGGGAAACAGCCATGAATCAAGAATTCAATTTTCCAATGGAATTGAAACAGGGCAACTGCTGAGCCAAGAATTATTTGTGTTCTGCCAGCAAGACACACATCCATAGGTTCAATGGGAAAATATTTCTTAAAATTTTAATTACTGCTTGATACATCAAATGGTAAAGGAAGCAAACCTGGATCTGCAGAATGGTGACATAAGCAATGGCAAATCCACACACTCCAGTGATGGACATCAAGAACCAAAACAGAAAGCTGCTCAAATTGGGGAAGTTGAAGACCACAGACTGCTCTTGGAACAGGAGCATAAGTGGGATGAAGATGATGGCTCCATTCACGTTATTGTAGAAGGTCAGTTTCCAGACACTGTTGTCCACAGCAGGGAGAATCTTCTTTGTGAAAATGGCATTCAGTGATACAAAGATACAGGCAAGAAACCCATAGCTAACCCCAGCAAGGGAAAGATACCCTGAAAAATATGAGTCAAACAAATGTCTGCATGGTAAAGAAATGATTTATAAGTTTCAATTTTTCAATGGGGTGAGAATGGCTTACCAACACCATGCTCCTGATCTATGCCCATGTAATAGCCTCCAATTATCACAGCACAGCAACCCATCACCGGTTTTGATGTTTTTTCACCTGAAGAAATAAATTTCAATATGCAATAATCTCAACACCAAGATCTGGATAAGAGGAAACCAAACATGCATGGAAGGAGATTGAGACTCTACAAGGACTAGTAAAAAGAAAGCATAAAAAAAAAACAATATGACTAAAACAAGAATGTGATTGTCCTACCAATATTGGCACTAACCAAGAATAAGAAAACTGAAGATGACATTGAAGATCGTTGTCAGAGATCTGCTGATATAATAGAAGGTGACATCCACATACTTGAGGCACAAGTTGTTGAATGTGATCATGCACACAAAGATGAAGGACAGTGGCAAAACCTGGAATGAAACCACAAGCAAAGAGAAATGGCATATTCAAAAGATGCAGGATCTTTCAACTCCAAAAATATGAAAGAAATATACAATTCTGAACCTACCTGACTCAAAATGTCCATGTTAAGATCCAGAGCAGGGAATTGGAAGACATCTGGAATGGTGTGTGAGAGAGCACGAAGCCCCAGACATAATGCAATGGTGACAAGGCACTGGTACCAAGTGATGAAGAGAGGAGCATCAATCCCTCCAGTTCCACTGAGGAGTTCCTTGTTGAGGAAAACCATGGAAATGGACACCACCCTATGGGAATTGCATCTTGTCAGTAAAGAGCACATGGCAGTTCTGTGTATGGCTCCACAAAACCAATGTGAGATGATATAGAAAAGTTACTGTTATAAGAAATGTTTAATCAAACACAGGAAGCTCACCAGTAGAGGGTGACGACTAAGGCAATGTGTACATACTTCCCAAACAAGGTGGATGGGTCTTTTCCAATACTGACATCCATATCATCAGGCTTCTTACCCATGGCTGGTGAACTGCTCTCAGCCATCTAAAGAATCTTTAAAAACTACATATAGTAAGATGATCCTGTAGGCTCTTTGAGGAAATATAAATGGCTGTCCTTATGGTAAAAAAAAAAACAAAAAACAAGAAAAAGCTCCAGGAAACAAAAATACATCTTTTCAATAAAGGAAACAGACTGAGTGGTGGAGAAGCAATAGACAGGATGGACTCCCACCTTCAATTGAAAACCCTGTCAAAACTACTGTAGTAAAGTTATAATGTACTGTACAATGAATCTGAGGGAACAAAGAGAATCTCATAAGTATATGGAATCAACCATGTTAGCAATAAGAAATTCAATCAAGCAATTAACAGAGAAAAAGAGCCTATGTCTTGTCAAAAAGTTAATGAGGAGCACTTAGTTAATCTTTTTTTGGAATGGACTAGTATTACTTGCATGACCATGTTCAAAAACTTAAGATAATATTAATAGTAATTTTTATTCCATTGCTCTTGCAAGACCATTTGGCCCATTGAGTTTGTCATGATATCTAAAACTGAAAATGTACACACTCTCATAAAGAGGCAGAAGGTTATGAAAAACAAAAAACAATAATAATTTATAAATAAAATAAAATAAGTTAGGAAATGCACAGAACTGAACAGGACACACTGAAGCTGTACGCATGAACATAGGCAGTTAATCAAAAGGGGTGAGGGTATAAGAAATTGAACATTGACAATCAACAAAGAAAAAATTTCAAAATAAGGAGTGTGAGAGAAGATAAAAAATAAATAAATAAATAAGAAATTAGGGGGGAGGGGGTATGGGGTTACACATTCATATAAAAAGTAACTCAAGTAAGAGGACCATGGGTATGTAAATCTGTTGCGGGCAAGAGGGGAAGATACCAGGTAATATCAAAGAATTCTGAGAATGAGTAGAGGGGCACAAGAGAGAGTTCCTTCAACTGACCGAGGAAAAGTTTGGAATCCTTTATATTCAAAGAAAACATGCCCAGTAAGATAGAAATCCTGTAAGGTCCAAATACTCCCCCCAAGAGAGGTAAACCCAGAAACCCCCTGCTACAAAGGAGTGAAAGAGTGAGTGCTCTTCTGATTACATGAACCAAACTGTTACTGCAGACAAAAAAATTAGTTACTGAATGAATCTGTCTGCATCAGCGTTTGAACTTTATTGCTGAATTGAGCAGAAGAGAAGAAAAGAAGCTGAAGAGATGGAGGTAGAGAGAGGACCAGGTGACAATACAGAAGTTTGAATGGGGAAATAAAAGATAGTTTATTGGATGGGTCTGAATAACCTCTCCAGCATGGGTCGTTCTTGTTTGTTCATTTTTGTCATTCATGTGATCAGACAGGACTTTCTGCCCAGGGTTCCACTGAATGTTAAAGTTGTGGCCAAATACAATTCCTGTCAATTCAATAACCTCAACGGCATTGCTGGAACTCTCAATATCGAACAGAAGATGGGGAGAAACTGCCTAGTTATTAGCAATCAGAGTAAGCCAAAAGAAGATACCTAGAAGCAATCAACATTAGTTCGGTTAAAAGAGAATTGTTGTTGTAACCTAATGGTTTTGTATATCCTCATAGGCCTATTAGAAAAGGAAAAATGCGAATTGGGCCTTGAACAAGGAGCATGGGACTTACTATGCTCCTTGAACAAGGAGCATAGTTTTTCTCTTTTTTCCCCCTGGGCTATAGCCCAGGAAAAAAGAGAAAAACTAGGACTGTGGATGTGTAGATACCTCGGCCAAATAGAGCATTTAGATAAAGGGACTGGCAGGTAAATCCCTGATAGCCCATGGCAAACACACCTCACACAACAGACGGCATCCGGAGAACCAGACCCACATTTTCCCTCTACCAGTATCTCATTAGCCTACCGTACGGCACGGGCTTCCGCGGTCTCTTCTATGATCGGAAGGATCCCATCATGGCCGCTTACGTAACTTCATTCATGGGGCAGGCTTAGACGTGATTTTCATTCGTGTTCACTTTTAAGACCCTTACTGGTCACGGGAGATCATCATGTTTATATTACGGGGAAGCAGAAAGTATTGTCATGATTCATATCAACAAGTTTGGCTATTGATTTAGTTTCAGGTAATATCAGTTTCCGTTTTCCGCCCCTTGACCGGAGCCTGTAAAGTAAAGAAACTGAACTAGAGAACTAGAAATCAAAGGGAAGTGATGTGCATCACTAGTTGAGAGTTATTGATGAATTGATTTTGGAAGACAATGACAGCTGGTTCCTTTTCATATGATCTTACTGTACAGGTCTGCATTCTACGATTTGAAGGTATATGTTCATATGAAGAGGTAATTTAGATTGTGTTGAACCTCCCCACACATTTGTATCGGCAAAGAATATAAACCCATGCTGATTTATGTTGAAGAGCGTGGTTGTTAGTGTTTATGACATGGTACTATTTTCCAAATATGCATAGGCTTGTGTATATCTGTAGGCTTGTGTTGGCCTAAGTCTTATGTAAGCCATTGCTCATTAGGATGAACTTTCTTAAGCAATTTTTAATATTCTGATTGCCAGAAGTATAGGGACAGTATTCTCACTCCCTCTGTGAAAGCCTTTCCTGTACCAAGCCTGCAGGAATGTTGTTCTACACATTCAGCTCTGTATATATGCAAGCATAAGTAATGGTTATTTAAATGGCTATCATTCTATCATTCTGAAAGCAGCAGTTTGTATGTGAGTACTTCTACATTGATACAGCTTGTTTGTAGGTTCTCTCTGCTACATGGTAGCAGCCATGGTGACTAGGCATTTGCCTCAATATATATGATGTTGCTTTGCTATTTTTAGGAATGCTGAGTAAGGCATAGCTACACTGTGGACAATGACACCATAAAACTTTACAAAGCTGGGTTTTTTTCCCTCAGCAGCTGAGAAAAAAATGTGCCTTGAAGGAATACTTTAATGTCAGGGAACATTTCTGCACTACGAAAAACAGCACGTTATCCTGGATAATTTTTAACTTCATTAGGTGCGTAAAAGGTATACTATGAAGTTGTATTTGGAAACAATCTCTCTCTGGCCCAAAAAGAAAGGAATGCTTGTCCCCCTTGGGGCTAGCATTCCTTTTTTGGGACTTCTCCAGCTTAGTGGGAAGAAAACAAAAATATATCCTAATATACTCTGGAAATACCAAACCCTCTTATTATTAAGAGGTAGAAAGCATTGAAAAAGGTGTTTTTGGTATCATGCCATTTGCCACAGACATTTGTGTTCAAAATCTAGGGGATGAATTCAACAGACCTTTTTTTTTAATCAATATGAAAATATCTCCAGACCATGTCAAACTACTATCCCTTCATAGCTGATTGTAGCACAGTTTTCCTAATATGCAATATAATTGAAAGCTTAGCTATGAAAAATGAAGCTTCCAAGCTCCTTAAAATGTGGTGACTTTTGCCTTCAGACTCTCCTCTAAAACCTTTAGAAATCTGACTCGATATTGCAATCACAAAATCCAACAGGTGGAACCTGGTAAAACAAAGTGCTAGGCCTTGCCTAGGAAGGGTTCCCAGAGTGAGAGGGCCACATGGCTGGCTACAATCCAAGGCCTTGGGGCACTGCCCCCACTGAGAGCTACAGACAAACTGGTGGTGTGAAACCCATGACCATAGTTGGGAGAGTGCAATGGGAGAGGGAAAGATTAAATGAAATGACTCAAGTGAGCCCTGTCCATCTCCTGCTCATGTGTCACTCAATCATTTCATCTCCATAATACTTCTCATTGCTATTCCCTCATAGGAGGAACGAGAATGGCGAAAGAAATGGTTAAAAGATCAAGAGCTGTCTCACCGAGAGCCCCGTTTTGTGCCTGAATACTACAAGGCTACCATGAACCCCATCAGAAGACTCTATCGTCTTCCACTTGACTTTGTCTTCAAGAAACTGGAACCAACACTTGTAAGACTTCATCAAGAGATAGGGGTTATTTTCATTATTCTGTAACTCTATAACCAATGAAAATGGTGTCTGTAGGGTGTTGAGAGAGCATTTTGGGCAAGGTATTGGACAGGAAAAGCCTTCATTGGAACAGCTGTCCTGCTTTGGGGATGGTACTACTTCAAGTACAACACCAGGGTAAGCATCATTAGAAATCTTTTGTCAAAGGTTTGCCACCTTGGGAAGCAGTTAATGATTTTATGTCAATTGTCCATAGACATGGATGACCCACTCTGGCTGGAAGGTGCGGAAATCAGACCCCATCATTCTTCCAGGAGACCCAAGGTATCCCAAAGTGTTTGAGCACAAGCCACAAGACTATCATGATCTGGGATTCCAGGAATTTGCAAAAAAGAATTCATGGGCAATAGACAAAAGGACAGGCTTTTAGCCTGCAGTTTTCTAGTTCTCCTTCTCATATTGTGATGAGTAATGTAGGCATGCCTAGGAATGGTTGATTGTATTACCAGTATGTAAATTGTTCAGTGTTCCTGTTTTTGCTTAAATGAAATAAAATATTGAATAGCACTAGATTCTCAATTGAAATTACATTTTACTGGACCAGTGTGGTTTTTATTAGGTACAAAAACAACAAGACAATACACAAAAGGGTGGGCTAATGGCAGAGCAGAGATCACTTTTTCCGCTCCTTCACAGATATGATGTATCTTTGGGCAACTTGTAGTGGAGGGGAATACCCATCATCATATTGAGGATCCTCAAACAGGACTTCATAGTCTTCAGTTGCTACACTTGGAGATTTCTTCACAATGGCCTTGTAGAAGCAGGTGGTCTGGGGATAGATGGCCAAGACTGAGGGAAAAAACAGCATGTTAATTACATCTCATGTGGTCATACTTTTCTCCAAAACAACAAGTACATGATATCATTAACTGACCAAAGCTTTTTCAACATGTTGATCAAAAATCATAATAGATGAAAGGTCCCAGCAAGGACAATTGATGTAACATTGACAAAAAAAAAACACTCAATTCATTAGCAATCTGAAAATCATGAAAACATAGTAGAAAGTCAACTAATCATTATCCTAGTTTTTACATTTATCCCTCCTTTGCTGTTTCCTGAATTAGAATTGTTTACCACAATGGAAGGGACAGGGGAAATTATGACTGAACCATTTCAATGCAGGATATGTGCAAATAAAGAAAATTTTATTTTCCTAAATTATGAGCAATATAAACTTCTGCTTAGTGTGACACCAGGTGGTCATTTCTCCATTACAGAATGAAACCTACAACTGCCTCTGCTGGTTAGCTGTTACAAAAAAAAAGGGTGGAGTTACACCTTACATTTCCAAAGAAAAGTCTTTATAAATACTGCACAAAAGTAACAACAGGAAGTGTGACCATGGCTCTCAGTGATGGGAGTATGGGTTATGAATAAGCACATCTTTGTCAGTGCAAAAGTAGAATTATTCTGAAAAACAAATTGACCAAAATTATACAAATGAGTCCCTATTTAAAGGTTAAAGCCTCTTGTGCCAAGAAGCTGGACCCCACACATTATGAATCTTTTAATGTGTGATCTACAGCTGACTATCTTAGGTAGGTATGTCTGGGTTCAATGATTTTTATACTCTGTCATTTGCATAATACTTTCATGCATTGCTACAATATAACAGATTCTTGCAATTCCAATTCAACTGCAGGTTGAAATGCATATTAGTATTCACATATTTCATGCTAATTAATGTTCATGGATGATAAATTAAAATATTTCACCTGAAGATGACTTTACTGAAAAAAGGAAGTAAAGCTTTCAAGCCATGATGGTCTAATACTGATGTTAAAAGCTACATATTTTTATAATGCAAGGAATTTACAACTAAAATGACAAGTTTCACAGTTAATGAATTATATTCATGGGAAGATTGGCAAGTGAATCCTTCCCTGCTCTCAATTAGGAATTTTGAAAAAGTATGAATCATAGGCAGATGTTTCTCAAACCTTGAGTTTAAATATTCTCATGCATAATGAAATGAACCTTCTTATAAATAATATTAAAGATTCAAATTACAATCATATTTCACTTTCATTGGTAATGCCCACCAACATTTTATAAGAAAAGGTAGTTCCTGACCAAAATTCAAAGACTGAGTTCCAAATGGCAATTTTGGCCAAAGACTTTGGACTTTTCCAGAAAGCACAATAACAAATATTTAATATCAAAATCTAGATTTCCTCTACCTGTCTCACTTCTCTATGCACCCTTTTGATGCCCCTTCATAGGCACTTTAAACAGCATTTTAGAAAATTATGGATTTATTTCATTTTGCAATGTGCAAAGTATGAACCAAATCAGTATACTTCAAAGACCTCACACAAATTAAAATGTGTAAATCAAAGTAATAACTGTCACTCAAATCACATATGCCTTCCAATTATGTTGGATTAAATTATGACATGGGTTTGTACATCACTGACTGGCACAATTCTGCTGCACTTTTGTTCCTCATGAAACCACTTTTCAGAAACTACTTTACTTTTCAAGGAAATGAATATTTCAAAAGGAACAAACCTGTTGATCCAGTGGGATGTAAAGCCTCAGGGCAAGTGACTGGGTCAGCCCTCATCTGTGGAAGTGGAATCACACGACGTCGACTCAAAACATGTCTTTCCTTCTGTTCTTCATCAATATCATCAACTTCATATTTAACAAGAGCTGCATTCCATCCAACCACTTCTGCTAATATCCAATTGTCATCACCTTCTTCTCCTTTCACCAGAGCTGCCACCATCTCACCTGGCTGATTTCATGCAAATTGCTGAAATTAGAGACACTGGAAAACCATTCAAGTAGTGATTCAAGATAGATCAACCCCACCTTGGCAATGTAGCTGGATTCAGCAGGGATGGCTCCACAAAGTGGAGGAGGCTCTTCATCCTTCTTTCCAACATACAGTGGCAGGGTAACAGCCACATTCTGTAGAAGCATCATCAGGGCACCTCTACGAAGGCGAGATGCAAGGCATCTCTCAGCCCGAATGGTACGGATCTCATAAATCTTATCCAGGGCTCTCTGCAATGCCTCCACCTCGTTTGAGGCTTCTGCTAGTGCCGATGAATACAATGACCGTAACTTTGTCTATGAAAGGAAAAAAAAAAAAAAAAAACAGTATGCTCACTTGTCCATATTAGGCCAAGGCATCCCAACCAGAGATTTGCAAGACCCCAGCAGCTCTCATGCGGATTAAGGGTGACTCATATGTTGTACAATTCATCAATAGGGCTTCTCAAACATGTCTAACCCTAATTCTCCTCCAATTTACCTTCCTCCCTTTGTTTATATAGCACAAAATAGGCAGTCAATAAAGCCTAGCTCACTTCTGAAAAATTTCCCATTACTAATTTTTTCTTGAGAGCAATGTTTATCAGTCAAAATCAATAAAATATAAATACTTATTTAATGTAAATATTTTAACTCCATGCTGTCACACAATCATCAGTTTCACCATCTTGCTACTGAGAGCCTCTGTACTTCTAGCCATGGGAGAGCTTGAACAACATTCAGGAAGGTCATGTGATATGATGCATTGCTGAGCATTCAAATATCTTCTGGAGAGGAATGGATTGCACACATGAGAACAAAGTCAGTTACTCTGTACACAAGAAATTTACTAGCAAGAGCTAGTACATTTCATGTGGACAAATTCATGGTCAGTACATTTTTCATAATTCAGCACATAATTTGGGGCTTGCAATGCCTAACCCTTACAATCCCAAGATACCGGTATATATCAGCTCTACCTAATGGAATGCAATTCTGTTTGGGAGCAAAAAGGTTGAACAAGTGCACAATCACAGAACTGACATTAAGGCAACTGTGACAAAACCCCTTGATCTCAAGATATAACCCCTATACTGTACACAGCCTCACCTTGTAATAGGGGGTGAGTTTGCCATCCTGTTTGATCCGTTCATGAGTTCGATTGATATTTGTCAACACATGCTCACTACGATTTCTTTCAGCCTGGACTTGCTTGACAGCTTGAATCACTGCTTTTGTCTTTTCCTGAAACAAAAGCATAAGGATATGAGGAAAGGACATGAGAACTTAGAAGCTCATAATATGGTAGTAATTTACTAACCTGCACAATAGCAGAGTCAAATGATTGTGCCATCATCAAAGACTAGGGAAATAACCTCAGATCTACAGATTCATTCCAGGGGTTGATCCACGCGAGCTGCTGATATCTGAACACCAGCTACCAGCACATAGACCCAAACAATTGTGACAAATCCCCACAAAGCCTGCAATCAGAATCATTGTGAAACAATGAAGGACCAAGTATTGACAGCAGACATTGGAAAAGGGGACAGTGCATACTGGGTTAAAAAATAGCACAATGCACGGGTATAGTTCGTTATGTCAACCCCCCCTACCCCATTGGGCAGGGAGGTTGACATAGTCCTGCACTTAAGTGGGCTGCGACTTAACTCACTCTAACCGGATGTCCGAGCACTACAATGGGAGGGGACGGGAAGGAACACTTGGAGAGAGAACCCCCTACGTACTCGTCGCGGTACGATCAAAGTGGTTAGGGTCCCCGTCGTCTGCTCGTCTTATGCTTCTCTTCCCTACGTTTCCCTGCGAGGGGCGCTCAGAACACTGATAGTGAGGTCGAGCGTCCAAGTCCATAGGAGAGCCAGAATGACATGAATTTTTGTGCAGGGTCTCCCCAAACTGATCATGAGACCCGAAAAACCACCCTATGGCAAACTCTGGCACTTCAGTAGTGCGAGACGCTCACTGCATAGGATGACCAGATCCGAGGTTGAACGGTTGTTCTGACTAAAAGCAGATAGGTCACATGTTCATTCTATATGGATGGTGTGGGATCGTCTTTTTCGATCGTCCAATTCGAACAAATAGAGATTGGAAGTACTGTCTTAACCGGTCGATTTTATTTGTAACGCTATGGAGGTGATAAGGGGCCACAATAAAAGGCTAATATCTAATATTTCATGCAGACGGGCTGAAATTTGCAGTGATTTTCCGTAACCGATGAAGTACTGTCTTAACCGGTCGATTTTATTTGTAACGCTATGGAGGTGATAAGGGGCCACAATAAAAGGCTAATATCTAATATTTCATGCAGACGGGCTGAAATTTGCAGTGATTTTCCGTAACCGAATGTTGAAGAGGACTCTGCGGACCAGAAAAAATAACCTTCCCTGCTAAGGGAAGGTTAAAAGAATGCATATGATTGATAATTAATGGGATAGCAGAAAATGGGGGGAAATAGGGAAATAGGAATAGGGGGGAAATATTTTGGGGAACGGAAGTAACAAGCGATCTCACTTCCAGACTCAAGTTACACGATTAGCAGGACTACTCAAAGCACCAGTTGACCGAAAATCGGACAACTGCCGAATCACACTTCAATATGCCACACCTAAGGTGCAAAAATCCAGAGCTATTGCTCCCAAAGAGGCGTGACGTTTCCATCCCCTCAAAAAATACAATATGGCACGCAACACAAGTTTTTATCTGTAAATCTGAGTATTACATCAATGCGCATCACGGGTATGAGGAAGGGGTAGCAGGTCACAGGGAAGATTTTCCCCTTGGTGAAAGGGTGAAAGTGCAGTTCTGATAAGAACCCCAGGTCACACAGAACGACCTACCACATAAAAGGGAAGCCGTGTCACGTAATTCTTGCCATTCCTGTTTTCTACGTCAACCACCTTACTCGTCCTCTGCAATTCTTGCGTAAGTTGCCAAAGTTCCTATAGTATCACTTTTTTTCCATTGCTTACCTGTTGTTTTGGAAAAGGCGTGCATATTCCGCGTCAGGATGGCTGTTGATGTCGGTATATTTGAGCTGGCGGGAATCATCTTGAATGAAGAGGCCGCTATTGAATTTTCACGCCGAGAGGGGCTTTTGCCACTTGCTTCAGCACGGCAAGAAGTTCCTTGCAGGAAACGAGATTGCAGGGGAAGACTACGGGACGGGAACGTGACATCTCGCAGGAATACGTACCCCGTTGTTCGTTGTACGATGTGACGTAACAAGCGATCAATATTAATTGGTCACCTGTCCCATTCCAGATTCGAGAGTTAAGGCAGGTTCACCAGACAGAAATTCTGGAGAAATGGAAACCCTCGTGATCTTTCCAAGTAAATTACTTAACTTTATTAAAATAAAGACACTAATGAAATATCAAAAAAAAGGAAAGGAAATAAGGAAAACACAGTTCTTCACAATACTTGTTAAAGAATTTAAGTTATTACTTAATATTGGATGGGAGAACGATCCAACTGGGGCAAATTCTACTTGAATTTGCAGGTTAATTATATTACTGTTCTCTCTCTCTAAGTTACTCTAACTTTAACTTGGGCCACACACCTCACACAACCAAGGGACAGGGCTAACCTTTACGATGGTAGGTTGTCCTGGAGTCAGCTCCGGATATGGTAAGGTCACAATGGTGCCTTCCAAATAGCGACTGACTCCAGGATCCAAGTC